ATCTTTTAATTGTTTAATTGTAAACAGCAATTGTTATATAATATATAAGCGTAATTGAGAGTTGTATTTATAGTCAGCGTACTCGAATCTTATTTTAAGAGCGTGTCAGATGAGATGTATAGATTGAAATTTGTCTTGATATACGGACGGTTCAATAATTATTAATTGCATTTTAAAAAGATTAACTGAGACTGTATATTATAGACTGTATGTCAGCTAAAAAATAGAATTATATATGTCAATTTGAACATTTTCAGCCGTGTCAATTTGAAATTTTGAAGATAGGGAACTAGTGAAAATATTAAAATACGGTTTAAAGAGAGTACAGGGCACATCGCAATATATAATTGTCAAGGGGTTTGGCACTTCCTACGCGTATCCTATTCCAACTGTAAAATTTTAAATAATATATTATTTTCTTTGTGACATTTTAAAATTAAAATCTCAAGTACACTTTACCTGCAGAAGAAAAATTCAAATAGGTCGATTTATTTTTAAATAATATCGAAAAGTTGTTATTTGTTAAAATTATAATAAATGTTAAAACTATAATAAGTGAGATATGTTTTATTTAATTTTGTTCGATCAGTGGATCTTGCTGTTAGACTGCTATTTCTATTCGAGTTTATGTTTATGTATTAATAATGTCATGTGATTTGCTTTCTTTTAATTTTATTATCTTGAATATATGTATGGACCCATTCCCGAATGTCAGGATCACTTTAAAAACAGGCTTATTATATTATTTTAAAACATTATTTTAAACACTGAATTTAATAAAAATTAGTAATATATAAGTTACAATATATAAAAGAAAAAAATGTTAGTTCTTTTAAAAATAAATTTTATCTCGTTTCCCAGATAGCACTATGTCCAAAATGCACCCGCATAAGACAGCTTTAAGATATTTTTAAGGATATCTTGATATATCATAAGATTTCTGAAAAATGTCTTAAAGATTTCTTAATAATGTTTTATGCGTGCATTTTAGACATGGTGCTATCTGAGTTATCATCATATTCTATAAATATCAATCTTTTCTTAAATAATTTCCGAATTATATTTAAATGATACGTAATCTCCGTTTCTGTTTTCTCAATATTTATAATGTTGATACTAAGATTGATATCAAATTCAAAGAATTAATATTATTAAGGATGTAAGGAGGAGATATCGAAAAATGGTACAAAATTTATAAAAATTTTATAAATTGCTTCTATTTTTTGATACTAAAGCTACTGCGTTAACATTTGGTTTTTAATTCACTAACTCATTTAAAAGTTCTTGCAATTTAAATTTCTGCTAGTTTTACATATAAACTTTTGAAAATTTGTTACTCGGATTGATTATATTACGTTAGAAATATCGAAAAATATGGTACTATGTATTTAAATTTTTTGCATATATAACTAGAACTTTAAAGGACATTGTTACAAAATTACATTCACTAAACCATTTAGAAGAAAATAATAATAATTTGTTGAAATTCTGGCTTTTTCCGATTTCTGAGCATTCAATTATGTCAACACTGAAAGTTAGGTATTAAACTATAGCGATTTTCTGTAAGATGAATAGATTTTCTATAAGATGAATAGCGTTAATACTTTTGTCTCCGCGATTGTATCTCCCATTCATACTTAAGGACAAGCATGATCTTTTCTGAAATTATAATTTCTGAATAAAAACATAACTATAAATACAGATCTTAAACTATAATTTGAGTTACAGGCTTTGCGATAAATATGTGTCTTTGTATCTTATTTTTAAGAGATTTCAAACTAATTGCCAATAACGTCATCATTGATAAAATTGCATTTTATTTGATTTCATAACAAATTTAATAGTTATATATTCCGGTGTCATAATTTTTTTTTTTATACGGATAAAACTCTCGTCGTCTTTGTGCGTGTAGTAAATCTTGCAAACTTCTTCCGATATTTATGATGCAAGTTGCTCATTCAGGCAATAAATATTGTGCATCGCAGCATGCGATTTCTTACAAACAAATATCAGAGCAAAACAAACTATATACCATGCTAATGTCACGAGTAAAAGCCACGTTAGCCTTTATCGATCACGATCGTTGACCGCGCCTTATAAGGTGTCTCGATATTTTTTTTTCTTCAGTCCTTGTCGCAATCGCGATTTATCGAGTGTGTGCGTAAAAGTTTCCTTAATGTCATATAATTCGAAGAAATTTCTACAGTCTATTGTTGTAAGTCCAATTTTATATAACCCGATTTTGGCGCAAATAAAACGATAAAAATGATAACAAAATAAAATAAAGCGACAAACAACAGTCACGAATAAAGGCTGCCTATTTATATATCTATCTCATTGTCAGAACAGAACGATGCACAGATCTATTTTAGGTACAGCTGATCGTGAGAGTGAATCGAAAAAAGAGTGTCTTGTACTTTTCGGGATTATATATCGTAATGTATTTTTATAATTAAAAATAAAATACTACATATAATATTTAATAAGGATCTTTTTAATAATAAATTTAGAAAATAAAAGATTTTAACAGTAAATTGAAATTAATTTATATGTATATTATTTCTGACAGGCATGTATTATGCGTCACTATAGAAATGTGATTTTCATATAGCAACTTTTGTATAAGAATTAGTGCACAGTGAATGAAACAATTTAAAGTTGTGTTAGATATGCACTCCACTTTGTCGTGAAAAAAGCTGGATAAATCGGGGTAGCGAATGAGTAACGTCACGCAAACCGCGATATACCTGAAGATTCTTCGTAATACCTCACGATTAACTTATCACAAAATCAGGTTCTTATACACATCCGAGTTTATTTCTTAGAAAATAGCTCGCGAAAGAAACTTTTTACATTCTCGATCTAATAAATGTGCTCAATCTATATGTATATTCAACTTACCTTTTAATTATTACGCATATATACTGCGCTACATATTAGTTAACTATTTGAATCTGTTTAAAATAGTTAATTAAAATTTAAAATATTTTAAATTTTTGAAAGACATATTTCTATTTTATTTAATTACATATTCAAATAAAATTCATCTAAAATAATTTATTTTATTACAAGGTATATTTTTTCATTATTATTATTATGAATTATAAACATATATGTAAGTATAAATATATATTTTCATACATTTTCTGAGACTGAAAATATAAATTTGAATTTTTGAAAGACATATTTCTACGTTCTCTCGCTATATAATGTCGGCAAATTATTGAATTATCGAGAGACACAAGTTTGTCGAGTATATATAAGAGACCGCGTTATTATTTTCGCGAGATTTTTACTCCCGCGCAAGAAAATCGCCGGTTTCTGATCACGTGCTCAGTAATAGATCCCATTAGGGCTGGCTGATGGAAGTAGGACAGCAGTACTTTCCGCTTACGAAGACAATTGCCCGCGTATAGCGTTACTCCGTTGACTCAATTGCAGGACTTGTGATCGTTTAAGGAGAGGGCAGCTGGCCAGGCACTTGCAGATCGAGATCGTTATCAGAGAGCAGTCTTAAGAAGTACAGTCGTTAAAACTATCGAGAGATTTCGCACGCTTAGACAAAAATCTCGACAGTTTTCAAACTCAGAGTCCTTGCTGATGTTGAATATAAATTGTCGTGTAAAAGCTGTACTATTTTTTTTTTATTTAAATCCGATATATTTCTTGTCTATTGAACGTCTTGTAACTTGATAGAACGTTCAAGCTACGCGAAATCTATGAAAAAGACGTCTTTTTGCCCGCCGAAATGCACCGAAAGTACATCCGTACAATCTGGCTGTGGCACGTGTTCGCAGACCAACTGTCCAGACAATTGGTCGTCTGCGGAGGCTGGAAGAATACAAGACAAAAAGAACGAGAAACTCCGACCGGCCGGCCGGCGACTTCTATCTCGCATGTCTCCTCACCTCTCGTACACGCGACCCCTCTTGATAAAGGTCACGCAATTTCAAGACGATTGTTGGTAGACGACTCCCCCGAACTCTTATTGCCGAGAGCAACCGCGAGAGGAAGAAAGAGAGAGAGTGATCTTGCGGAGAAATTAATTCGTATCAACGAGTGCAGTCACACCGGATTCACTTATCATAATCATTGTCTCCAACGTAGACATTTGTCCTTAGTCGCGAATATTTTTTTGTCCCCGACTTTTATTTATATCTCTTTCGATTCTTTTGCGATCACAATTTTCGGATTTCCTTGCGAAAATAGCGCGCAAATTGGTCTTGTTTCTGACTTGTACGCTCCCGGTTCACCTGGACTTCGATCGATTAATTGATTCACTGAATTAAATCATTCGCTAAAGTGTAACCTCATGACACGCTTCATTGCAGCATCTTTGATGCGTCGACATGCAATCTGACGAATCGCATATTTTTTCATTAAATTAATAAAGCGCGAATATTTGTGAATGAATAGAATTATATATAATAATCGATATTAAAATTAAAATTTATACGCATTTTTACCCGCGCGCGATTTATACAGCCTACTTTTCACAAAAGTAAATGGTGTTAGTAAAAAATAATTTATCTTTAAAATAAATTCGCACGTATGTGAAAAGAGGTAACTTGCAATTATTTTTGTCATGGTAGCACCACATAAATAACCAGCTCAATATTTTTATTATATGCTTTCTTACTTATTTTGATATATAAGAAATAAAAGAAAAAATAAAAATCCTGTCAGCTGACAATGAAAAAAAGGTATTAGCTTTAACTTAACATAACTTAATCGAGCAGATTACGTACAATATATGCCGATCTTTAAGCACTCACGTCACCCAATTAACAGTTAAATAACGATGATGTGGGATGATTTGCATTCGATCTTCGACAGAATGCAGAAAGACACGTCGCTTTCCTTGAGACCGATTGTTTCCCTCACTCGACACTCTCCCTCCTTAATCTGTTTACTTTCTCTCTCGCTATCCCCCGACCACACTTAAAGGACAGCAAATACGGGAGAAGAAAGAGAGTGAGGGATGATGCGAGCCACCTTATACTAGTTGATCAGCAACCTTCTACCGAGACGGAGAACCAAACCTCTCTCCGGGGACAGGTCTTCGTGACAATTGCGGTCAATCAGACTGGCACTGTCAGAAACGTGACCGCACGTTCCTAGTCGGAAGAGTCTGAGACGCTCGTCGGCGACCGAGCGGTCGAGACGTGCCTCGTCGATCTTCTCGGAGAGAAGCGTCGGAGAGAGAAGCGTCTGTGCCCGCATCACCGATCACCACCTACCTGTCGGTTCTCCCAGGCTTGTAGAGAGGCATAACAATTCTTCGAGATCACTCACGGAAGCTCAAACCCAGGAAATACGATAAGACGAGACGAGAACTCTGAGGATCTCACTAAAAATAAAGAACTCATATACAATAATCGACATTTGGATACTTTCGTCGGAGGAAAAGTACACGGCTGTGATCCACGAAACCTATATAATACCGAGCTAAGAATATTAACTACCGTATACATTTTGTGTCTCACCATATCGGCTTGACCGAGCCTGCGAGTCCCATATCGAGGTTGCGGAGAACCTGGAAAATCGCAGAATCCAGATCGCACAAGACGCTTCGGTCGGGAAAATTCGCGGACGGGATCGATCCCTCTGTCATCGACCGATCGATCGATCGCGATTACTTTCGGGGCAGAAAGTAGAAAAAAACGACGAGGAAAAAGAAGACTCGCGCCAAGTTGCTCGTGGACGGGCATCAATGCATCCCAGACAGTGGGAAGGGTTGATTCTGCCGAGAAGCCAGCATTGTCTCGAGACGTTGGCCCGTTATCGTCTACGAAGTATTTCATGATCGGTTCCTCATGAGAGAGACCAGCCGCGCTATCGTCGTAGCGATTGTCATCGTGATTATATCTCACCTGCCACGTCCGCGACACTGTCCGACGTTGTCCGAGAAAAAGTGCCAGACTGTGATACTACTCCGTGTGATAGAGAAATCGCCTTGTGATCCGCGTTTTACCTCATCGTACTCAGTAAGTCTCTCTCGCGCATATCCTGTCTCATCCGCTCTTTTTTTCCTTTAATGTCGTTTTTATCGGAAAGATGTGTGCTCTCTGCTGCGTAAAAACTAATTATAATAACCGAGGAGAAGATGAGTTCTTTCTCTTCCGTGAGAGCTGAAGGTAGATTCTCTTCGAGTCTGCTCGATTCTAGTATTTCATTAATCCGGTTCATTTTTAGCGTCGATATAGAAAAAAATAGAAACCCATTATTTATTTATTCTTGCAATTAAATTTAATTATTATGAGAAAATCGATATTTTTGACATCTGTGAATGGACTTTACAACGGGTAATATAAAATAATTTATATACTTCGTTGAAATATATTGTATCTAAAAAGAGTCTTATCAAGGTATATATATAGAACTATATTATTTTCATTAAATTTACTGTAAATTTACAATATCTGTTCGAGTTAAATTTATCGCATTAAAATATTATTTTATTTTATTTTACTTTAATTTGATATCGCTGCAATATTTATTCAAAGCAAGTCAACTTTGTGCTCATGCATTTGATAATAAAAAACTGGATAAGATATTTTGACTTAATATAGCTCTCAGAGGTATTATCTTTCAAAATTCTTTCAAAATTATTTTCAATTGTTGCAAGAAGGAAAAAAACAATTATTCTCGAGAACAAACGGCTCTGCTAATTCTAGTAATGCATGACCGCTTCAAATACTATGCGAGTCCTCCTCAAGTTGACGCATATGAGCGCAGCATATTTGGTGCTCACGTACCGTGCAATTGTATTATTAGAGAGTGCATCTGCCTCTTAAAAGAGCCTCGTTGCTTCAGCTCATGTCTTCAAATTATACGTCAGTTCGAATTACGCGGCGATTACGGAGAAATTAACGCGAGTACCGTCATTAAAATTAAATTGATCTTCATAACTTTAACATTTCATCGGCAATCTCCCAATATCGCTAATCTTTCTTCACAATTGCTGGGATATGCATGAGAAATATGTGAGAGCATTTTTTTTTTCATCGCTTGTACTTCACGCACAATTTATATTAATGCATGAATGCGTACCTTCGTTATTCGCGCGCAATTTGTTCTGTTCAATTGCAGGATTTCGTATGTAGTTGATTAATTAATTGAGCATTTAGCAATGTTGGAGTACTTCAAGATGCTCTTCTAGCTTTATTTTTAATATCAAGAACGAACTATGTGAGTGACTATTAGATTGACCTTTCTCAAAAATTGGTTTTAAAAAATATTTGCATATTAATATATTTATTAATAATTTGCAATTGTTAATTGTGTTCGATCATACCGAGTCGATTTTTCGCTACATGTGAATTATGATATATATAATGTTACCTACAGGTAAACTTTGACAAGACGAAATTAAAACTCATTTTTATCATACTTTAGCGTCTTATCGTAATTTTTTCCCATAATTTTCTGTTTATAAAATATCTGAAATAAATAAAATCCCTATATAGAATAATACCGAAATAAACCGCAGTAATAATTGCAGACGGTGGTTAATTTATGCTAATTGATTTTTACTAAAATATCATTATTCGCATTTATTTAGAGAGTTGTATAAAAATACATGACAAAATAAAAAATTAATTAAAGATAATAAATATTCGCGTCAAAAGTTACATTTGTCGTCATGCTACGAGATGTGTAATTTTTAATCAGACTTTCGGAAAATTAATCGAGAAATTCGCGCAATTTGCTATAGCAGAGCGACGACAACCAACGCAATCGCAATCGAAGCGAATTAAAGCGTCGGGATTTTTTAGCTATTTTCCTTCACACCTGTCTGTCCGACCACGAAAAAAGAAGGAAAAGTTCCTTGCGTACGTGATCGCACTTTAATCGGAAAAGTCCATCACCCCTGGCCATAAGTGCGTTCTCTCGTAAGTGCGTATACGGCTTGCTTAGTATCTTTCCGAGTGTTATATACACGTGTTTATGCATTATTACTCGTGGTGTCTGCCGGCGGTACTTTGCAGATAATACTTGTAAGAGAAAAGACGAGGACAAAAATAGAAATACTCCAGCTTGCAAGAGACAGTAGACGAGAGAGAGATAGAGAAAGAGAGGAAAAAAGATCAAAAGAGCCATGATGGTTGAGGGAAGAAAGGGAAAGACGAGAACGAGTCCTCTTTTCAATTTACGGGACTTTTCGCTATCGTGAAATGCGTCTCTTCTTGAGAACGCCGGGAGGATCTATGTAGTTCGGTACTGTTTACAATCATTGGAGGCGCCAGACGAGAAGCCAATGAACGTTATTATCGACACGTATAATTGTTGTTCAATCTCATTTTATGGAAATTTGAAGCGGTGCGATATCGTCCGATATCTCGCTTCATGCGCAAAATAATGCAAATTCGAAGAAGTCGCTAAATTCTTAGTTAATCTGAATTGACAAAATTGTAATATTTAAAAAAAATCACGCGCACACCAGAAACTGCGCTAAAATAATATTTATGCATTCCAAGAGACGATCAATCTCCCACGTTTTGTTCACTCTTATAAAAAAAAAAAAGGATTCAGTTTTAAATTAGTTTTAAATAATTTTTCAATTATATAATAATTAATAGGCTAATATTTTTCTCAGAAACCGCATTGATTGATTGTGAGATACTTTGAATAAAGTGATATCGTATACCACATACGAACTGATTTTCGTACCGATAAATGAGGCCGATGATGAATTTTTATTTGTTTTGCGCCCACGGCGTGTCAACGGCATGCGATCGCGCTTATCATTTTCGCGGTGAGATACCACGAGTCTCATTACCCGCGTTCGCAAAACATAAACACAGTTATTTACCTCGTCCGGGTTTTATATTTTGCTGGTCGAGAGACATGTGATCTTTTTCAGACCGACGAAAGCGATCACCATGGACAATTGCGCAGTCTCTTTCGGGCCGGCAAAGAAAAATAATCTAATAAATTATATCACCTCTGTTTTGGATACTTAAAAAAAGAGTAGTAGTTTATGTAGAGTGTAAAATTCTTATAATTTTTTAAAATAGATATATATGATTTTAAAATAGATATCTCGTACAAATAATTTATAGAAAGTGATCCATTAATATTAAGAGCAGAGTATTGATTTATTGTGGGCATATTATAAGAGCTTTCTAATAAATCGTGAATATAATAAAATAGTTTGAGCGACCTATCGGCGCAATAATGCTTCTTGTAAATGTACGCGTGTTTTCAGCGCTACTAATCGCGAGGAAAAGATAAATAATGTTAGATAATTCGACATCAACATGCATTCTTTCAGTTATTGTTTGATGTTGAACGCTAATTTCTATCGCCATGATGCGCCGGAAATAGAAATGGTTTGTCCTATATTCGCCTACTTGTTTTGAAAGGCAAGTCAATGTGTCTACTGCGGTAATGACTAATGATATGGCATTTGCGAATCGATCGTGAATAAATTTCATTAACCTTGAAACGTAAAAAAAGTGCATCATATTTTTGACAAACTTCTATAAATTGAAGCTTAGATACCGATAAGATTAAAAAGAACACCAATAATAATCAACGGTATCAAAAACACATTTAGAATCAATTTCTATTAGTGAAAATATTACATTGATAGTTGTCGCTATTTATTTTTAGTTATAAGTTATAGGGAATGAAATTTTCATCTCTATACAAAATAAGCTTTGAAAGTCTGTCTATATAATAAAGAATTATTGATTTATTAATTTAAAAGCCATTTGAATAGAATTTTAATTCAAAGCTCAACTTTTGATCTTTTTCAATATTTTTGGTAAAACGAGAGTTTTTATTTTTAAATTCAACAGAAATTATATATATACGTCTATCTCCTTGCACATATAAATGACCAATAATACATCAATTTTTTCTAAATTTATCCTAGATTATTTATGTTTTAAATACCTATAATATAATACTTGGTTCGTTTTAAAAATTTGGACATTGTATAAAATGTACGCCAGTTATTGTGTTAACTAAATGTACACTATATTTTCGTATCAAAACCACTGACCTCATTTCCATTTTCGTTGATAACGCGACTAATCAAGCGTGATGTAGCCTACAAAACAAGTCAATATTGTTATAACCCAATCACACACGGTATCATTATTGGATATAGTCACATCTTTCAAAAATCGGACAGGTATCATTAACCTTATCTCAACAAGACTAGAATATTATTTTTAATTGGTATACTGAATCGTATATCTGTATGCATTATATATGCATACAGATGCATGTGCATAGATGCACTCTGGAAAATTTTTGTTAAAATGTCACTCTCGTTAAAATTGTACGAGATGCATTATTATCTGTTTGTTCGAAACAGTGTAGTTATAATATAAGCAAACGCTCAATTCTTGATAAAACATATTGGATGTCTCCGAAATTATCTGAAGAGACGTGAAATGAACGCGGCACGTGCGATACCCCCCAAAAATAACAGGAAGACCTCCGCGTATCAGTCTCCTCCATTTGATTGCGGAGTAGCATAATTATGCTGGCGCTAACGTGTGAACAAAGGTCGCCATCATGAACAAAGCACACAGAAAGAAGTAGCTTCTCTTTTTCTTGTTCTGTCGAGGAGACTCCCGTCGCGACGATTGCGCGAACGAAAATACGCGGTCTGTCACTCTTCCTCTCTCTCTCTTTCTTGTGCCGCGAGATTTATATTTAAATGAGAGATATCTAAAAATAGAGGCACACCCTACGCGATCGCTGCAATGCCATCGATGTCCATTTTTACGCTTAAACTGCACCCTGTCAACTAAACCGGACAGTGTTAGAAAAATATGTATCCGAATAAATATCTCTATATGTGTCAAATAACAAATAAACAAAGTCTAAACATTTAGATATACGTTAATGTATAAAATGAGAAATTATTTTCGTAAACAGTACGTTCGAGGTCTCCGCGCGTTTCAGATAACATTTTTATTCGTGATCGAAAGTTGCGTGATGACACCCATAAATGATCGCGGTCTACAATTTCCACCCACTTCCAATTAACACTGTTCACGTATGTTTTATATTCTCTGTTTGCCTTTCTAAAATTATCTCCGATCTAAAATGCTTGTATTTTTCTTATATAAATACAATATATTTCCTCCTTTCGGTTTTGTTCTAGCTGTCGTAATTTAGAGATTTTTTTCTAAATTAAAGATAATTGATAGAATGAAAATATGACAAATAAAAATAACGAGAGTCTCGTGCATGCGTTGGTGTAATGAGGATGGTATTGCTTTCAGATGTCCTCAAACCGATTGAACGTACTTGTGACCCTAATAATTGTCGTCGCGTTTCTTGCGACGGAATCAGGAAATGCACAAGCGGACGGCTACCCCCAATTTGATTCGGTACTACACAGCAGGACTTCACCGCAGAGATATTGCGGCAAGAAGCTATCCAATGCTTTACAGTTAGTCTGTGATGGCGTGTACAATTCCATGTTTAAAAAGAGTGGTCAAGTTGGTGAGTATAAACGCTAATCGATAAGGATAACATTTTTTTTTCTCATTAGTTCTGACATCGATATTAAGTGACGAGAGATGAAATAGATATATAGTGGTTAATGGATCATTAATGAGCGAAGGCTCTAAAATTGTGTCTATTTCAGTTACAATATTAAGTAATGTATTTGTTTCTTAATGTACACAAATTTTTTTATCAGATTTTACTCATAATTGAAAGTGACAGTTTAATCAGCGATTATTTATTTCGTGTATTTCTCATTGTTAATATTCAATCATATTCGTGTTTATATAATGTGTGTTTCAACAGAGTAGGAAAATGTAAATTTTTCAATTATGTTGTTTTAATTCATAAATTATAAATATGTTTAAAATATTTTTGAAATATTTTTATAAACACAATATTTTGATACATTTTTTCTCTCATTAAAAATCATAAAAAAATAGATAATTGTTTTTTAAGGAAGATGAAATATTCATTATTACGACTACCATTTTGACTATTATATAAATGATTTGCGAAAGTTGCATCATACTTTTCTAATTTATCGATGGGATTTTGCTAGCATATACAATCATGACGATAATATTTAGAAAGTTAATAATAGAAAGTTGACAGATAATATTCAGGAAGAGATTCTTTTCACGCGCGAGCGCGGAGGCATCCTTTCATTACGAAATTTGCCTTTGTAATGCCACGAGATTCAGTCATTAATATTAATGCTGTCGCATTCCTTCTTTCTCGATTAACGCCACCTGCGACGGTACAACGATTATTTCGTAACGGAACTACCGAAATAATCGCGCCGTCCCAATGCCAAATTATCAAATATGACTGGATGTCGTAAGATATTTAAAGGAAAATATTAATTATTTTTATAATTTAAGATATATTATATTTAATAATTATATCATTTTTTCTATTTTAAATTATAATGATAATAATTAATAATAATAATATTAGTTATATAAATCTAAAATGTCTCATTTGAAAAGTATAATAAAATAACGCTTAAGCTGTTCTGAGCTTATAATTGAATGGCTCAATATAAGAATGAGGTCAGTCAGTAATTTAAAATGTTCACTTTAAATACAACTTCATACTTAAAGTGAAGACTATGGATTGCTTCCAATTATGAGAGACTTTTTACCTCTGATCCGTCAATTTCTTAATAGCTTCTCGAGCGTGATATTTTATACGAAAAGCGATTAGGCACACGATCAATCTGTGCCTACAATTAACCAAGTAATCGCCACTTTGTTGCCGATGAATAATGCATGTAAGCTCGTATTACGTATTACCGAGTGGGATTATCTAAGCCGACAGAGGCACTCTCTATAATCATTAAACTCTTAAATATGTTAATAACCGAAGGCATTACATTTTTTAGCGATTGTAGCAAAAACAAACATGAGACATTCATATAAAATATTAAACCTTTTTTGTATGGATACATAAAATAACTTATCGCTGAGCTTAATCAAATAGATTTATATATAATCTGACATTGAAATCTATAGACTTGTACGATATATTTTAGTAATAATAGCAAACAGATTCTGATCATTTACGTCAAATAATATGCCATATGTGATATGCGAATAAATATAAAATCACTACTTTTTTCGGAAATATATATGAAATTTGTCAATCAAAATTAGCATAATTGCTATCAAATATGATATAAATATTAGCATCTCTGTCAAGTTAGATTCTTAATTATTTATATTAAAATTGGTTGATTTTTGCTGGCACACATTGCTTATAACTTATTTAAAACATTAAAAATGTTACCTTATTTATTATTAAATAAACCTACACAAATCTTTTTATTTATATAGCCCTATTTTTATATAAATTATAATTAATTACGTGTTTTCTTATTTTTCTATTAGTGCTAAGAAAGTTTTAAGATTTTCAAACAAAAATATTCTATAAATAACTTTGAAATTAGAAAGGCTATGAGAGCCGACCGCGGATATATGTACGTGAAGACCGCCAAAATTTAATTTTTCGTTGTCTTATAATTGTGCACGAGGCACGAAATTTGCTTAGCAATTGCTAAGACTTATTTAGGAAAAATCTCATACTTGAGATATTAATTCCTATATTCCCCTTTACTTCCCTAAAAAAGTTATGTATAAGATTTTTCCTAAATAAGCCTAAGCAATTGCTAAGCAAATTTCGTGCTTCGTGTACACTTATAAGACAGCAAAAGATCAAATTTTCGCAGTCTTTACGCACATACGCGATCGGCTCTCATAGCCTTTCATTTCTTCAATATAGAGAGCCTATTATTTCATTTTCCTTTCACAGTCCGGGAAGAAGCGAATACCGGCCGCAGGAGTACCGGCTTTGACTACGTACGCACTCAAGGTACGATTTTGCAGATGGTGTGTCAAAAGAAAACTTTCTTGAAAATCTCGAAACTTTCCTAGATCTCTAAGTGAAAAAAATAAAAAGCATAATGTACTTATGTATTAAATAAATAAAAATAAAATGCACGCAAAAATGGATATAAACCGATACATAAGTAGAGCATGTTTAGAACGATATACGCGAGCTGTTTATATTATCAATATACAAAAGTTGGTACTTTTCTTTCAGAAATGGAGATGGCCGATTACCCGTACGAACCTCCCCCGTTCCTACCTCGAGCAAGAGCACGGGGGATGCTGGACAGAGTATTCGGCGGCAACAAACGTTACCGAAGACAAACGCGAGGCATCCATGAGGAATGCTGCCTCAACGCGTGCTCGATGAACGAACTGGCCACCTATTGCGGTTCCCAGGCCCTGTCCTAAGCGCGTGTCCGGTAATCCTTTGACCTTCGCTTTACCATGCAACCGAATAATTCCAGACATGCGTGCATATATCCCATATACTTACACATAGACACAGACAGATACACGTACACATTTACACATACCACAAATGTGCAATACACGTTTAAAAAGTTCACCAGTAGTTGCATCATTGCTCATGCTGGAGACTGACTCGTGATAATTATGTGTATACATTTATGTAATTTTTTGCGGAGAAACTTTTCTTAATACATGATCGTGTGCTGGATTGTATTCTTTTATTGATTTAATCAAAGGGACAGCTAAGAAAAGACAAAACTCGAAAGAAATAGTCTTAAAAAAATAAGATATAAAATCATCAGAAATCTTACATTTTTTTAAATTAATGACACTTGATTAAAATTATTAATAATTTTGTTTTGTGAATACTTTTTATATACTACCCGGGAAAAAATTTTATATATAATTATATGTGAAATATGTCCATTTTTATACATAATTATATAAATTTATATATATAAATTATAAGAGTTTATAATTATGTCAAATTATATATGAAACATATATATTTATATATATGAAATACTTATTATATATATATATATATATATATATATATACATTTATATAATTAGGAATATATATAAAATCACTTTATCTAATTATGTATGGACATATTTCATATATAATTTTGTGATTATATGTATAATTTTATATATTTCTATATACTTTTATATTGTTATATATAAACAATTTTTTCACGGGATATAGTTCTACTATGATTTTAATTTGGTAATATGGTTTATTATGTAGATAATTTAAAAACGAAATATATTATATTTATATTTATATATTATAATATATTTAGTTTTTCTTCGATTGCAAGTCTCGACATTTATTCAAATTTTTGCTCATTTTCTTCGCTTATTTTGCCTTGTTTAGTGATAAAATTATTAAAGCAAAGTTTTCGAAATTTTTGATAGTGTGTTAGCTACATTACGAGTACAAAATAATACTTTAATCAAAATTATCAATTTTACCAAAAAATGGTTGGTAATTTAATATAATAAATTAAATCAAAGATTATACCAAATTTTCTTTTGTTTTTTGTAAACATAATCTTTTTGTTATAAATTTGAATGGAAATTCAAGAGCTCTTGATCACGGTTTACAGATAAACTATGATATCATACAATTAAAAATGTATAAAAAGAAAGATTAATGATTTCTCGAAAAGAGAATCAAAAATTGCAGTCAAATAAAATATTTATGCAGCTTATAATCACATATGCGACATTTATCATATTTTTTATAATTTGAAAGAAATAACATCGACGTCCACATTTAGAGGATCATTTTGCGAAAGTTAGATTGGAAAAAGGAATTAACGTTGAAAAAAAAAGAGAGAAACCAATCGCGATCTCTACACATCACGTATATATCTAACGTGTGATCTCATATAATTATACTGGTGATCATCGTGCGACATTCATGAAAAATGGAAAACGCGCATGTGGCGATGTCACGCAACTTCATGCTTGCCTCGTTCGAGGGAATCGATCTTGGACTTTAATATTGGCCTGGTATTTTTTTGGCTCATATTTTTTTCTCGGGCAGCATCGAATTACGACGACTTGCGTACACGTTATTGGCAAATGTGATCTAACGAGGTTGAAAGATTTGTAATTATCGGGAGATACAGTCTCAACTCGCAAGATGATTTCTGGCGACAAAGCGCGGAAGAAATAGCTCGATAGTTTCTTGTAATTGTAATAATTTTTTCTTTCTTTTTTAACACTAACTTCGAGATCTGTTGGACGACGCAAAAAGGATCATCATCATGGAAATATCGTGTTTACTACTCTACTTTGCAGCTTGCGTTATTTTTAATCTGCCAGAGGCTGTGACGAATTTCAAAAAGCACTCCACAATTTTACAGCATATAGTGATATTATTCTTATTCATAAAACATGTATTCTTAATGATTTTATATCCTATTCTGAGAGAAGGATCGAGATAAAAACGATCGGAAAGCACATTATGCACATCAATGTATTGCTTGTAGCGAAATATGTGGACAAGACTCAGTTGACACTTTGATCCAAATAAATTTTTTCGACTCTTTAACTGGATATTATGAGCCGAGCACGATTAAAAAAAATTTGACAATGTCTGATCAATTGATTAAAGGATTTAATGCAAGAGTGTGATCAACATAATTTATAAAGTTTATTTTCAATACGAAATTGTATTAAAAAGAGACCAAACGTCAACTAATCTTATGCTTGCATCAAATTTTTTAATCAAATTAAATTGCCAGATAACGATTGCAAAATTGTTGCACTGCATAGAATACTAACGATGAAGATGTTTGCTTATTGTTAGAACCATAAGAGATGTTTCTAGGAAAACATATTTTCTTACACACGTCTGACGATCATATAAATAAAACTATACTGCATCGAAAATATCATGAGTCGTTGTCCTATCTCAAAAAAGATTTATGTTTCTAAGACAAACATGCAGTAGAAAATAATCTTAATGAGACAATATGTATATCAGTAAAAAAATGTAACAAGTCGAAATGACGAAAAAATGTTATGATTATTTGATGATCGATTTAAGTTGAATCGCGCGACAGACAAAAGTGACGAATGAGAAAAAATAATTACTGTATAATTAACAAATTTATATTGCTGTGAGGAAAAAGAAACTGGCATAAATTAACGAGACCCGCCATGAATCGAATGTCGTGAAAACTACACTCGTCGATCATTTGTCCGAGAAGTTTTAATGATATCGATTTGTTTCTACCGACAGCGTTGACTTTTGTTACATATTGAGTGATCTTTAAATCGCATGTCATTAATCTCGTCACGCACATCTAACATAAGAGCACATTCCATTTCAAATTATATACTGTTGTACTCTATCACCGAAGAGTTATTTTAACGCTTCTCCCGCGATTAATTGAAATCTGTCTGTATCATAGGTAGATCTGTAAACAGCGAATCGGTAAGTCCCAAGAAAGTTGACACAATCCATCGTTCGAAAGTTCGGTAACATGCAAATTTGAAAGAATATATTTTTTATCCAATTTTTATACGTTACAAAAACTGATAATCAATTTAATTAATATTTCATATAAACTTCGATTTCGATTTTAAAGATATAAAAAAAGATGGTCGAAAAAATGTGGGCTTTTATACATAATTTAAATTTTTTAATTTAAAAAAAAATCTTGATTAATATGAATTATTTGATGTTTTCTCTTTCGAATTTACAAAGTCGAATTTTCTTCATAGCTATAATATCCCCATGCGCGCTTTTCGCCTACTCGCCGTTAGATCTCTCAGTGAATAATGCGACAAAATGATGATAAACGTCAAGGTCATAAGTTATTGATTAGACAAGAGTCATCGTAATCACGTTTATCATGATCATCATCTCGAGATTATTATGTCCCATTTGCCGCGTTAGCGCCATTATGATCATTTTTATCATTTCTCATTCTCTCGTCATCCCTTGTCATCATGATGAGATGTGATCTACATCGCTAACGTTGCTGCTAAACTTGCTTGAGTACATTTCGACCAGGCTTCTCGCGTGCTACTGTCGCACTGTTTCCCTCTCTTCCTGTATTTTCCCGTTTTTATTCCCGCAATCCTCCTTGCGCGATGATTGTAATATGTATAAACATGAAAACGAGTGAGGATCGAGATACATGATGAAATCAGATCAAAATAGTAAGAGATAAATTCTACAACAACATGCAGTAAAGTAATCACACTTCTGTTCAACCGATATCACAAGAGACATATAATGTGCTGAGAAAATAAGCAAAAAGATGGATAGCTTTATAGAAAGGGATATTTGATTGATGCAAAGTAAAATAAATTTATTTGAGTAAACTCTTGTTGTTGTGTCTCGGTTCTGACATGCTCGATCCTTCGGTGCGGAGACGCGATGGTGCTTTTTGCTGCGACTGCGAACGAGAGACAACTCAGGCGCTCCAGCGAAATGAGAAGCGGCGATATATATATATATATATATATATATATATATATATATTCGTAGAACACAGGCGATGCGATTTGTATATTTGAGATGTACTTCAATTTAACGATGAACAATGAAAATCGTTCCCAAGAATGATCGTTCTCTTTTTCACCTTGATCACACACCCACACTTCGTTCTATTTCCGTAACATTCGACAGGACAAAGACGATTAATCTCAATGATCTCAATTCTAGTTGGCGTTATACTTTTACACGCCGGAATGTGTGCACGTCCTATTAATAATATCACTATTAATTTCTTCTGACAGCTGATTCACACGGTTACTTGCTTAATGTTACTAATGGTGCGTATATATTGATCGCATACACGTCTAACGCAACCTTCATGTCGACTGATATAATGTATGTACACTTTCACACGAGGACTTTACATCCCATTCGCAAACATTAATCTTTCAATTTATCTCTGGAATATACATGCAAATGTCTCTCGCTCTCCTATTAGTTGCTATATTACTCTAATGTAAGTGTTAAACATTTTTTTAGAGAAATCTGTAACTATAGCGAATTATTCATAAGATTTCGCCTCTCTATGCGATAGCTTTCTTCGACTAATGAATAATTAATGAGTCATAAAAGATAAGTAAATCTATAAATAATTTTCTCTTTCGCTTTTATTGCTGAAGATAAAATCAGATAATTTAGTAGTTAGAAGGTTAAAAAACAAGACAACATTATGATAGATAAATTGTGTAAAATATTAGATATGACTTGCATGACACCATGACAATATTTAATACTATTAATCAATCACTCAATATCATAAGCATAGATATTAAAAAAACATCTACTTTTTTTCTTATCGATATCTTTGTAGACATTTATCTATTGTTCGCACTACTAAAGATCTTTAAGAGAAAGGCTATATCTATTAATCAATTTCATAAAACTAAGGTATAGCATATTTGACTATTGTAAAAAAAATTCAGATGCATAAGAAAATTTAACAACAGTAACAAATCCAATAATAATTTTTCAGAACATAGCATAGAATTATCAAATTTTTCTACTTGTCAAAAACACACATATATGTGAAAGGTATAATTTTATCGGTTATTAAAAGCATTATTAAAAACAAATAAAAAAAAAAAAGACTTGTATGTTGATTCTCGCACATGAATCAATAAAATGATCATGATTTTTATGATCAATAAAAAAAAGTTAAAGTGACGACTAAGATTTTGTTAAAAAAGAGCAATTCATCAACTTCTGTAAACAAATAGAATCTCTGACAAGATGACTATGTGGATGTATGAGGGTTGATGGCGCCCACGCGTGTAGAACATCGTGGTTTTTCTGTCAGCCCTTTTCCCCCTTTAACAGAGACACCTTTCACGGTCGCGTGACATGCTGACATAAAATAGCTCGTCACTACGTTGCTGTCGTCCGGGTCAGGATGACTAGACGAGTGTCAGTATCGATTCAACTGGCTACTAGTTATGCCACATTATACGCATTATAAGCATTTCCGGTCGCGGAAGATTTGTTGATCAAAATGTAGTGCGGAGACACCGTTGAAGAATGTGCAACTTCCAATTTTTACTTGGCACGTTTATACTCGCAACGTGTTATCACAGCATTTACGGACAAAGTAAGTTTCTTGTTTAACAAAATATAATTACATTTAAAAAAGGTAAAAATCTTCTCTCGACCGTACTAGCAAATATTATTTATTCAATCACAACGTTTCGACCCTTCTTTGAGTCCTTATCAAGTGATTTGTAAAATTAAAAATAAAATTATAATTCTAAGATGTCAAGAACGAACATAGTGTCGGTTTGACAACACGTCAAGACTCTAGAGTTTCGACCCTTCTTTGAGTCCTTATCAAGTGATTTGTAAAATTAAAAATAAAACTTATAGATTCTCAAAATGTTCGTTCTTGACATCTTAGAATTATAATTTTATTTTTAATTTTACAAATCACTTGATAAGGACTCAAAGAAGGGTCGAAACGTTGTGATTGAATAAATAATATTTGCCAGTACGGTCGAGAGAAGATTTTTACCTTTTTTAAATTCTGTCTGGCGATTCTCAAATATCTACGTTCTTATAATTACATTTAATTAACGAATATGATTCTTATTAACAAAATATAATTATATTTAATAAATCCATTTTTATAATTATTTTTCAAAATGTTAAAGTTGCACACGTAACAATAATAAATAGATTAAGAAATATAAAAAGTGACAACAACTTTTAAATATTAAATATCTTGTACATAAATTTATAATTAGATACATGGCAGAATAACTGCCACAAATGCTGATTATAATTAAACTGTGTTTGAATATTTTTCTGCTTAGTAAATTAAAAAATTAGTAAACTAAGAAATGCGTAATAAAATTTTATAAAAATCTTTCCTTTTAAACATTAGATTCTAATAAAATAAATCTAATCAAACTCAAAATTTTTATTCTTTGTTAAGTAATCATAATTTTAACATTAAAACTAGGAATTTAATTTTGAAAAAATAAAACTGTCAGAGCTTGATTAAAAGGTAGAGAGAGACATTTCGTACAATTTGACGTATCATTATCCTTAATTTTATGAAAGACAATATTATGTTTTCAGATGTTACGACAACTGACGAACAAAGCTCTATGAAGAATATCATACCTGCAGAAATGAAAATAACATCATGGGATGTAAGTTTAATACTCATAATCGTGCGTATAATTAAAGTAAAAGTACCATTTATAATAAAACACATATTTAATTTTTGAAAAATTAAAAAATTAAATTAAATTAATTAATAAAAAATTCTTGCTGTTGCGATTGTTTACACATATTTCAAAATGTGTAAAATAATTAGAATAATAAAGCAAATAATAAATTTTTGCTGTTAATTTAACGCGGAACAAAATAATATTCAACTACAATATTTTTTTTTAAATTTATAAAATAGTCATACTTTTTAATTTACTAATTGTAAGCAGAAAAATATTTAAATACAATTTAATTTTAATCGACATATGTGGCAGTTATTTTGCTACATATTTAATTATAAAATATGCAAAATATTTTAATACTCAAAATTTTATATTATCAAAATCCAGATTTGATTCAAGTTTGAATTAAATAATTATTATAGATAAATAATTATATAGTTGCACTGATAGAAAAGAATATGGATTTCAAATAAATATTTATTTTAATAATGCCATTATATTTGTTTGAAACTAATAATATTGGTTTGTCGTGAAAAAATACTTATCTGATATAAGAAATCCTTTTTCAAAATAGATAAATATTTATTTGTTTCAAACAAATGGTGTTAATACCACTATTAAAATACACATTTATTTGAAATCAATAGCTTTTTTCAGTTAATCAATTAGAAAGTGATTAACATTTTATAGCGAATATATAAGTATATTATACATTGTTATAATGCAAAAAATATGTAAATGTAAAATGTACTATGGAATATCTTATTTTATTGCGCCTTTCACACACGACGCATTAAGTGCACATCTTTACGATTTCACTTTGTGATAAACGATAAGAATGTCATGGTATGACATTGCCAATAAAAAATATGTATATTACATCTTTATTACGCACAGAAATAGCCTATGCATTTATATGCATGACTGCATCTAAGTGCTCAAGTACAGGTTCTGTATTAACCAATTATCTCCTTTCCATAATTTTAGTTATTACAATATTGAGAAACTAAAAAAATATATTTTACTTAGGTAAACAATAAATAATTATATTTCAAATTAATTCAAATTTAACGTCCACATACGCATATTTCGCGTACATTAAAAAAGAATTACACTGAATAATATATAAAAACCTACCTCACGAAAAAAAATACCTATTACTATGTCATATTTCAAGTGACAATCCGTCATATGATTTATTGATCACTGACAAAATGTCCTACTTTTCTATATTGACGATGTGAAAAACTCGATATAAAATCGTCAATACTTTGCACATAAATTGTATCCTCCAGTAACGAGAATTTAGTCTCGTCGGGGAAATGCATTAATCTATGCTTTTTATTGTAACTATATTATTAGTGTTCTTTTAACTAATATAGCCAATCTAAATAATATATATGTAAATGCGATAACGTTTAAAAGGAAATTAATATTATATTTTACATATTATTATAACAGATCAGAAAGAATAATAGGACGTAAAAAGTAAGGCGTTATTGTAATTGTTAAAAAAAAAGAAAAACAAAAGAGATAATAAACATATAATTACATAAATTTCATTTCTTCATTTATCTTTTGTTTTAAAATGGTTTTAAAAAAATATTGACAAAATTTAGAAGATGGCCAGTGCACAGAAAGGATTTAAAAAAACCTTTATTGTATTGACTTCATACATGAAGCGTTCAGTTTTGAATGGCCAAATTTATTTTTTTTTATTTCGAAAGATTAGATTTCTGTTGAGTATTAAATAACTTAATTAAATAAATAAGTATCTATTTTCTCTAAAAGTTTTTTTTAAATTATAAACTTGTTTATCTTTGAAACATCTCACATAGTCGGAAGTTGAATAGTACTTTTCCGATGGCATCGCGTGTTTTGCGTGACGTGTTAAACAAAGAACACTAATCGAGTAAACATGCTATTAGAACTGTTATATTACGTATCATGGCTGATAAGTATTGCGTTAAGTTTGCTAGGGGAGAAATATATACCTATATGAATGTATATTTTCCGATATGTCGCGCATCTTCATGACTTATTAACGTGTTCGTGCAGCTCGACATCAAACATTAAAATGTACAAAGGTTTAAACTGAGTACATGCAATTAACCGTGCACGAAACGATCGTAATACTATGACAACGCGCAAAGATAATAATTAAAATAACGTTGAGAGACACCATTATAAGATTTTATAATAATATCATATGTACTAATAGGAGAACTAAATCAATCGCTAAATCAATCCTTGAATGTGATCTCCCTACCTTTTTATGATAACATTAGATAATATATAATAATATTCCCGGTAAAAATTTTTTTATACATAACAATATAAAATTATATAGAAATATATAAAATTATACATATATAATCGCAAAATTATATATGAAATATGTCCACACATAATTAGATAAAAATGCTTTTTATATATAATTATATATAATTATATAAATTTATATATATATAATAAATAAGTAATTCTTCATACATATAAATATATATAATTTTCTTGGCAAAATTGATTTCGACGTAACTAGCAATTTTATTCAATACTTTCACGACGTTTCGACCATTTGATTGTGGTTCTTATTAAGTGAGAATTCCATCAATTAAAATGAGATTAACGCAATTGTGTCGTTGACGAAACATCATAGCAATGGGACGTGTTCCTTTTTTAACTATTAATTTTAAATAAAATCGGTTTTATGTTGCGTTAATCTCATTTTAATTGATGGAATTCTCACTTGATAAGGACCACAACCAAATGGTCGAAACGTCGTAAAAGTATTGAATAAAATTGCTTGTTACGTCGAAATCAATTTTGCCAAGTTTATTTCTACCACTAGCGTCCAATATTAATTTTGATTGATATATAATTTGACATAATTATATATGAACCCTTATAATTTATATATCAATTTATATAATGATATATACAAATAGATACATGTATATTTCACATAATTTTACGATTATATGTATAATTATTTATATATGATTATATATAAAAATTTTTTTACCAAGCTAGATATCAATAAAAGATAATTATATGACTTTTATAAAATAACGAATGTTATATTCAATATTCGTCAAATTTTAGCTCGTAGAATTTGAGAAAATTTTTATTTCTATATTTAATATTCAATATAACGATTATTATAAATTTGATAAGAATGGCAATTTTTTATATTTATCCAAAGTTATGTGAATGTCGATTGCGACAATTGTTATAGGACATGCCATTTTCCGGATTAGTGCAAGAGAATGGAAAGTGGGTGGGAAAAGGCTACGCGTTTTACTTGCTCGAACTACTTAGTTCCAAATTAAATTTCACATATACTATCGTACCACCTAAGCAGCATATACTAGGCAACAGTCGGAATGGAATATTAAGTTTACTCTACGAGAAGGTAAGGTATTTTCTTTCTTAGCTGTTAAAGTGAGTTATATCTTTTCATTTTATTTATTTTATTTTTATTTATTAATTAACGAATTTTTCTAACGATCTTTTATATGCATGATCGAATGCAAATTATTAAATTTCCATAAAAAAAGATTAATTGAATGGCGAGCAAATGTCTAAATTGTCGAGAAACGAAAATATATAATTTTTCCCATTCAAACAGAAGGTGGATATGGCAGTGGCTTTCTTACCTCTTTTGCCGGATTTGCGGAAGTATTGCACGTTCAGCACAGCTTTGGACCAAAGTGAGGTGACGGTGTTGATGAAGCGACCGCAAGAATCGGCAACCGGTTCGGGATTGCTCACACCATTCGATCACACTGTTTGGTTATTGGTACTCGCTTCGGTGCTCTTCGTAGGACCCATAATTTATATTTTTGCTACACTCAGGTTCGTCGAGAGTTGCGAAGAAGCTGCAAGCACAAACCTTATTTTAAAATAACAATATTATCCAATGTGTTCAAATTCTTAATATTCAATGTTTACTAGGGCGAAGTTGTGGAAACAACCGAATTCGGAGAATTTTAGTTTGTTCTCCTGCGTATGGTTTGTGTACAGTTCCTTGTTGAAGCAAGGATCGACTATATTTGCGACCACAGGTATGCGATCATGCGTATTTAAATGAATAAAGATCTCAATTATCATATCATTTGTATGTGTCTGAAGTCTGAATTCTCTTAGGAGTTACAACACATTTACGCGAGCAGTAATTCTAATTTACATTAATTTGCATATAATTATCGTTTAGCTTTTATACGAATATTATGGCAGCATATCATTATTCATAATATCATATGAAAATGACAAATGTGTTGTGAGAATTCTATATGTATATGCACTCATTATTATTATTGTGTTATCAAATGAATCCATGCTAATTACAGACTCGACACGAATTCTTTTCGCTACATGGTGGATATTTATTTTAATACTGACATCTTTCTATACGGCGAATCTTACTGCTTTTCTCACCAGACCACAGTTTACCTTGCCAATTAATAATTTGCAAGATATAGTAGGCAAAGGTTATCAATGGGTCACTTACAAAGGACGCACTATCGATTTTATGCTTTCACATGTGAGTCTTTTTGAAAGTAATTTTCATACTAAAAAGTTGCTCCTTTTTCACCAGTTTAATTAAATGATAGTTTCAATGAAAGTTGATGACTACTAGATTAATCTTTAGAAATATTATGTTGTGACGAGTAATATTTAAAAAAAATAAACGATTAAAAAAAATCATTAGCAACAGATGACGATAATTAAAATTACTACAAAACAAACTAAAATATCGTATAAACTTTTCTTTAAAATGTGCTTATTCAAATAAAAATAATTTTTGGATTATTTATTTTTTTGGAAAACTTGCTCGTCTCAATATTACATTTTTTTATTATTATTTTTATTTAGGTTATCATGTAGCTCAATTAGAGATGATAAAAAAGAGGAGAAATTTGGCTGCATTCTTTGCATCCAATATTGATGCTACAAAACATTAATCTGTTATATATAATTGGCGAAATTTAGTTTTTTAAAAATAGGTACCTCCGTACATTTTAACATTTTACATATTTTCAGGAGAGTAGCAACGAATTTGATTTGAATTTATTAAACGCTGTAAAATGGAAAGGCCACTATATCACATCGTATGAGAATCCTGTTAAATCTATTTTCAACGCTGTGGATAAGAGTAAGTATTAACAATTTTGAAGCAGTTAATGCTAAATAAACATATAATATATATTAACTTGTAGATAGATTATTTCTTGGAGACACTCATTACCTCCAAAGTCTAATATTCGCGGATTATGTCAACAAAACGCGTAAACATTTGTTACATCAGAAAAGATGTACATACGTCATTATGCCTGGTACGATCCTCGTCACCAATAGAGCATTTGCCTTTCCCTTAAATTCTACCTTGCTGGAACCATTCAACAACGAGTAAGCATCGAATTTTTATGTTAAAAGTCATACAAACTTTTTGATTTAAAGAATCAACATTAAAGATAAATACTTTCCTAATTATTGATGTCTACATATTCTTATTATACAATAATCTTTGAAATCTAATCAAATAACTCGTATAATTTATGCAAATCTAATCTTAAAACTGTCTCAACTTATTAACAATGCGCTTGAATTAATGTCTTTCAATAAATTAAATACATTTTAGATTGATGGCTTTAGTGGAGTCCGGTATAGTACAGCGTGAAAAATTGAAGGATCTACCACTAGCGCAAACATGTCCGTTGGATCTTCGGTCCACAGAAAGACAATTGTCGCTTTCCGATCTGTCTCTGACCTTTAAAATAGTGGTCGCTGGTTATGCAATTGCGATGATAATCTTTATTCTCGAATGGCTGATCAAATGGACAATAAACTCCTATAAACGGCGGAAAAAGACTGGCAAATGGTGCGATTACACGCTCTGCTGCAAGTGGAAACGAAAATCGAGGGAATCTGTAACCCCGCAATTAATTTACACCATGAAGAATAACTTATTCGACAAAAGGACTAATTTGCAAAAAATAAGCCCGCGACCGCTGTATCAGAATAGCTCATACGATATTGCTCCAGGAAAAAGACACAATATTAACGGACGCGATTATTACATCGTGATAGATCGCTATGGCGATCCAAGATTAATACCAATTCGCACACCATCTGCGTTTCTATTTCAATATACGGCATAGCAGAGAAAAAGGACTTGAGTTAGATAATTATTGTATAATAAGAGATTAATTGTAAAATTGATTACAAAATAGAAATTTTAATCAAATAAGTAGCGCACTTTGTATGCTAATAATTACGTAGTTTCCTCTCGTTTAACATCAAACAATTTAATACATCATTTCAAATAATGTGTATCATATCAAATATATTGTAATATTCCATTTTATGTAAATAATTAAGGATTTGTTTTGCGAAAGCGAGTTTTTAATTTTATTTATAGTAAGTAAAAGGGAAAAATTATTTATAAAGGAAATTAATTTACGATGATTAAAGAAGAAGAAAGATAGAAGAAAAAGTTTGGACAGAAAAATTGGAATAGAAAGAATTTAAAAAACTATGAAGTTGATGCAAACTGTAAAAAATAAAACAGAAGAAAAAGAATTTGAGAAAAAGAAGCAGGCGCGAATGGTAGATGAATAACGAAATTTTTATAAGGAAGATTAATTTATACGAATTTCAAAAAAAAACAAAGGTGGAAAAAATTGTAAAAAGATACTTAAATAAAAGAATTTGAAGAGAAAGTAAAACCAAGAAAAATATGAATAGAAAAAATATAGAATGTGTAATTATTATATAAAAATATGATTGTCACATTCGGATAGTTAGTATAAATTAATAAGTTAGTTATTTAACTATTTATGATAGATATAAAACTGTTTATACATAAATTTATAATATACTATTTTTTATGTTATAGCAACAAATTAATTTTTTTGTTTTAATTTTAGATTGATTTAATTTACTTAATTTGCTGCATTGATTTAATTAAACAGCACTAAAAATAAAATATTTGTTTAAATATTAATTTATCTATATATTAAAAAGACAATTTTGTAATGTGTTCGAAAATCTCTTATTAATTTATTAAAATTATTTTGAATTTTTCTAAAACATATTTCTTTGTTTTATATATTTTTCTAAACAAAAACAATAAATAATTTATAACCAATGTGTATAGATCGTTGCAATTACTTGTAACATAAAATAATAAAATATTTTTAAAATTAATATTTATTATCACTCACCGATGTTGATTTTTCGCCAATTTCATCAATTTCTGCAATTTACTATCGCATTGTTACACGCTTAAACATCAGCCAGATTTTATCTGTAAGAAAATAATTAATTATATATGTAAGTTTCAATATAAAAATCAAAGCAGAATTTCAAGAACATCAACAAAAAATATATATATTATTAATTAGAACATTATAGTTAAAAAATTAAATCAATAAATTATTTATTCTAAAATATGTATTAACATGCAATAAACCTCATTGTAAATCTGAAAAAAAAATCAGAGAATTGCATCTAGATCGCGATTGCATGAATGTTAAAACAATATGTGACAGATGTTGCATTTCACTATTACAAATACTTCGAATATGGTTTGCTTGATGAGAATGAAGGACGAAGATTTTCTAATATAATATATACTTAACCTAATCCTAACCCTAACAGCACACATATCCGAAAAACATTCAGAGAACATCCAAAAATATCCAGAAGATGTTTGATGTCCTCTGGATGTTTTTTGAACGTCTTTCAGATATGTTACGCAAGGCACGTTTGTCGTTTGATCATTATTATGTATGCGATTCGCGGTTTCTCTTGAGATTTATGAGCAAATTAAACTTTCTCCAGTCTAGAAATGATGAAAGGAAGAAAAGAGGCCTACCAAAAAATAATCTATCAAGCTAGTAGAACTCGCTTTTCCATATTTATTTCTGATCTACGCGCGCACTTGCGATGAGTGACTCGTTTCGAATCGCCATTTGCACGACGCTCATCTTAGTACACGTACTGGCCGAAGCTGGCTGCTGGCGCTGTAACCTGCAACTCGCCTTGTCTTCCTCGTCACATGTATGAATGATGAATAAAACCATACGTATTTATGTCTCCTCCAAGCCCGCTTAATGTTACATTATTAATATATTAGAGATCTTTTATATCTTATACAGATATTTTAATTATATTTTATCACATAAAAATCTTTGTGTCTATGCTTTTGCTTTTATTATTTTGACAATTCGTAAATATGTATATGCTTTTTGTCTCATATACAAGCGAGCTCATATTTAAAATTTCTGTTGAATGAAAATATTCCCATTCATAAAAATCATAGAAATCTTATTCCTATGCTCATGAATAAAATAAATATTTAATAAGATGCAGCTTATTGTTGTGAAAGCTTTTAATTCTTTAATAAAGCTTAGTTTTTAATAAAATAAAATGTGGAAAAAATACAAAAAGAAGAGAAATTATTTTGTATTTATTATGTATTAATATATACATATTCATTATATAAGCTCTTTATTTTATTCGTTGGCATAATTTACACTAATTTTTTGTATATTTTATTCAAATTTTATTTTATAAATAGAAAAAAGTAAAAAAGAAAGAGTATAGCTTTTCTTTCCGCCACAATATATAAATGGCATATCTTATTAGATATTTATTATTCTCGCATAGAAATAAAATTTCCATAATCTTTAGAGTGCTACATTGTGAAGTGGGAATATCAAAAATACTCAACAAGAATTTTAAATGCGAAGAGATTCAATGATATAAATAATCGACGGAGCTCTTCGAGCACAGCAGTGTTGTTTCAATCCGTTGGTGTACTATCTCCTGAAACGTGAAACATTGTCAGAACTTGCTGATCAGGATGTCAAAAGTGCTCATTATTTTTGCGAGTCTAATTTACCTAAATTACGCTTGTTTAATTACAAATTGTCCACGTGGTGGAAAAAGGGGTGATATTGCTTCTTCTTTGACAACTGCCATACGAGAAGTAAATTTTAAATATATGTATACATATATATATAATTTTCTTTAATGTTAAAAATAAACTATATAGCAATTTTACTTTAAAGATAAATATCTAACAAATCTATAAAAATGCTTTATTATACGTATAGAAAATTAAATCCTCATATCTACATGGGATAAAATAATCTTAATGTATATTGATTTTATATTTTCTATTTTTTATTTTTTAAATATTAATTTATATAAACATTCAAAATTTTTGAGATATTAGTATATAATATAAATATATAATACAATATATAATTATGTTATAATCGCATCATATTTTTTTAATTCAAGTGTCCCTCGTGTGGTCCCAATCATCTGGGTCAATGTTTCGGACCTCACATCTGCTGCGGTCTTAATATTGGCTGCTTCATAGGAACACCTGAAACATACCGTTGCAAAAAGAAAGCCTATATACTAAGCCTTGTGTTGCTGGATACGCAATGTGTCGTGGAAATACAGCGCGATGCGCCGCAAATAATATTTGCTGTTCGCAAGGTAGGCATAAAGCAAAAATTAAACTTTAAAAGAAAATAATTAATTATTTTTCAAATAATATTTATATTTTTATTGAATGTAAACCCAGTGAGAAATGATTGGTCAAATCGTCATCGATTCGACATCGATTCAACAACGAATCGACGTCGACCATCATATCTCACTGGAAAGTATATCTGTATAATTGTGTAAAAAAAATGTATATAGTAAATACATCCTATAATATATATATATATATATATATTTACTTAATTATATTTTATACAATATTGTTTTATTTAGATTTTTGCTATATGGATACATCGTGCAAAATTTCTGATGTTTCCAATGATCGTAAAATTGAAACCGATTTGAATATGATATTCCCAAGCAATGAAGTCTGTAGTAAAATACTTCAATGATGTAAAATTTAATAGTTTTTAAAAATCTTTTATCATTGAGAAAAGATTTTTATTAATTATTACTGGCGAATCTTAAGGATTATTATCTGGTTAATAGTTTTTGCTTATCACTTTAGTGTTTCAACTTATATAATAATATGATTGTAATATAATTGTATATGATAACAAATAATAAAAATAATTAAAGAACGCAGAATTATTATTATTATAATTATCTGCAAGATAGATTTATGGTCTTCTTTGTATTTTTTTAAAGATACGTTATTTTTTCGGAAAGTCTCTTTTATATTTTATATTTGTTAGATTTTAAAAGTTAAAAATATTAATTACGTGATAATGCTAAGCAACTCAATGCATAATTAAATTTTAATATTATTACTATATGTATATATAAAGTTGTGAATAATAGAATATTTTATCAATTATTTCTTTTAATTGTCTACTTTTGTTATAGATAAAAATTGTTTTCAATTTTATTACATAAAATTATAAAAGTAATTGTAAAATTATAAAGTGAAAAATAAAAAACAAAATTATATAAAAATATTGTATTTTCTCATAAATATATATAATAACAAAGAATGTATATAAGAATCATATAAATAATATATATATAAGAACGTACAAAATATATATTGATATAAACATATATATAATATGTACGTATGATATAAATATATATGTATAAATATATGTATATTGATATATATGTACAGATTTTGTATATATATGTAACACAGCATTTAGCTCTATTTAAAAATTATAATTTAATTGTATAATTGAATAACTATGTTTAAATGTAATGTATATTTAAAATGTGAAATATGTAAAGATAAATGTTTTTTAAAAATTAATGAATTTTAAAATATTATATATATATTTTTTAAATGTTTACTAAAAGCAGAATAGCAATATTTAAGCCAAAAGTTATGTACGTGGATTTAAAATTATATTTATATAAATCAAATTTACTATTGTACGATGATTACGTGTATTTGAAATGCACACAGCGCAAATATGTTATTAATATTTTATATATATCTATATACATAACGTTAAACATGCTTGACTCAAGGTCTTGATATTTATAATATCAATTATTAAGAGATCCTATTATTGGCTTCTATTGTCGTATAAACGACATTCTTTAATTTCAATTTTAATTTATTCTAATTTTAAATTTTATTTAATTTGATTATTTCGATTATTGTTTTGATCGTGTAAAAGAAATTAAACACGCCTGTTGCTGTTTCTCTTCATCTTCATTTTCCAATTGACACGAACTTTGTTCTGACTTCTTCGCAGTACTTTCCATCGCAGCCTACGAGAGAATATTGAATATTGAAATTTACGCTAATTTATCTGAATAATTGTTTAAGTTATTGTTAGTCGTAATCAACAGTTATTTTGTACATAGTTTTATTATTTGTATGGTTAGATAGAAGTAAATATAGATTTGTAGCAACATGCATCATATAGAAAATATAGATTATAATTAAAAGAAATAATGCCATACTTAAATGTAATGTTTGTTCTATTGTTACCTTTAATAAATTATCATCAATAGGATTAATATATTCATGCTGTCCGGGACATACATGTGGAACTATAGAACTAAGTGTTACTGCAACCTCATCTCTTCGATCGTATGATGGATTTTGAAAGCGAATGCTGCTGAAAATAATTATATCACATTGTACCTATCTATATATAATTTTTACACAATAATTTTTATATGAGTAATATATTAAATGTATATTATGTTCGAGAGAAAGAGAAACGATCAAATAAGTTCGGACGTACTTGAGATTATTTGATGTTTTTAATTTTAATTTCCTTTTTTGATAGTAGTAATAAATGCACAATAACGAAACAATAACCAGTAATGTGACAATTGTTATGGAATAAATTTTACTCTGACTTCGAATTTTTATGTTGTTGGTGCGTCTTGAAATGAATTTCATTTCATCATTCTTACGCAGTTCCGTACAAGTGCTATTAGGTGTTATTGGTTTTCCGTCTTGACAAATGCATGTCGCAGTTTTAGCTTTTAAAACGCACATATAGTTGCAATTTAGCTTTTCACAAAGATTCTCAACTGTCAAATAAACGCATAATTAATGTTTTTGCAAATGTATTATACAATTAAATATCGACATACAACATTTAACAAACCATCAAAATAAATCATTTTAATAATCCGTTTTTAAACAATTCTATACTTACCGAGAGGATGTATGGAAGTGTGTAGAATGGAGAAATGCTTGTGAATATTGTTCGGACCTATATTCATTATTTCGCACGATTTATTGCCGTACAGTTTACACTTTTGCAATTGACCGTTCGAACCCATTAACCAATAAAGCGAATTTTCAAAAATGTTGATGCTTAATGGTTGATGCATCTATAAGATCAAAAAATATTTTATTAGAAAAAAATATTTAATATATTTATTTTTTGCACACAAAATGTGGTTGCTATTTTTTATGTATATAAAAAAATAATGATACTTATTGACGTACATCTGTATTTAAAAGCGTGCTTCGTTGGCTTCCATCTAAATTGGATGATTCGATGGTTTTGCGGAAACTGTCCGACCAATATAATCTGGATTTTATATAATCGATTGCCAGTCCACTCACGACGCCTATATGTCGAAAACTGATTATCTTCATGCCGGCACCCATCATATCTGTCCGACATATTTCACTGAACGGTTTATCATGCACTTGCCATGTAGTTTGACTCCAGAATAACCATCTGTAACACCAAGAAGTCATTTTGATTTTTGTAATGATATTTTCTAATGATCACATTATTACGTTGCATTTCACTTCTACTGTTTTCTGTAATTTCTATCAAATCAATAAAAATGGTGAAGATCAACAAAGACAGTAAGATAGTAAATTAGTAAATATAATTTTAAAAATACCTATTTTTTGAATCGATTTTGAGAGACGACACTCTTGCCACGCCTTCAATTTTAACGATAATTGCACAGTTTTGTTGTTTTGAATTGCATACCTTTAATAAATAAATTAATTAATTCAAAGTACTCGCATTTATTTGATATGAAAAGGAGAAATATACCTTAATCATATTTGGACGATCATTATCATTAAAATAGATATTATTAGTGATCGAATCGACTGCAAGTACTCCCGGATTCCCAACATTCTTAAATATGCTTAATTCGTTCGTATTAATGTGTAGCTTATTAATAGTGCCCAATTCATCTGTAATTATTTTTTTAATATTTATTCAAACAACACGCACATGCACACAAATTTTTAAATCTTTAAATAATGCTTTTAATTTTGTTTCTAATTAGATTGCTTTTAAAAATCTTTTATGAGAATATTTATAAACTTTTTAAATAAAAGCATTGTATAATAATAATTAATATTTATAATAAGTTAAATTTAGATGTGTAATGACTAACCGTTACTCCAATAAATAGCATTATCGAGTGCGTTTACGTCGAAACCAGTTACGCTCAAGCCCATTAACGAATGAATCGCTTCAATTGAGAGCAAATTTGACGATATTTTTCTAATGTCATCATCGGCAACGGTAATTAATTCCATTGGCGGTCCTACAGACAATCAACATTGATATTCATCGTTTCAAACTTTAAATAATTGGTGCAAAGATTTAGCTGCAGTTACTTACCAATAGCTTTGCAAGAAACCCTATCGTTGCGAATAACATATCCATCGTAGCATGAACATTGAAAGGAGCCTAGGTTATTTCGACAAATCTGCGAGCAAACATCGAATTCGCATTCATTTATATCATTACATGACACCATATCGGCAGCTAAACGATATCCTGTTTGACAACCACAAACTCCTCCAAGCGGTGTCTTGTAACATAGACCCTTGCAGATATTATTGTGCGCACAAGCGCTTGCTATAGAAAAAAATCACATATCGTAAAAATAGTGCGCGTTAATATATAAGAAATATTTTTTTATTTTTAAATTATCTTTTTCTTTCTAAATGTCGAAGTAAATTATCTCCGGACAATTATCTTTTTATAAATCTTCAAAATAAAAAAGTTTATTTAAGCTTCTTAAATTTTTAATTTTTAAATGCTTTAAAAACGCTCTACTTATTTTATTAAATCTTTTAAGAATCTTTTTTTACAAATTTTAATAGCACAGCAAAGATTAGCTACATACTGCATTCTCCATTTTCATCACTATTGTCCGAACAGTCTCGGATGCCATCGCATACTTTGTTGAATGGTAGACAAGTGCCTGAGGTACATTTAAAATTTTCGCATACATTCGACGCGTTGACAATCGCGTTTCCCAATTTATTACCGCTACAATCTTTCTCGTCTGATTTATCACCGCAATCATCGGTTTTGTCACATACCCAGCTCTGCGGAATGCACCTTTGATTGTCGCAGGCAAATTCATCCTTGAAACAGTACGCGCAATGATGCTCGTCGTCGTTTTTCGGGCAGTCTTGAACACCGTTGCATCTGTTTAACATTATACAATTGTTGGAAAAAATTAGAAAAGGTCTTTACGATAGTTTGCACAACAAAGTTTGTTACTTAAAATTACAAATATATTTAGAAATGAAAGTGGCTTTGTACAAATCGATAAACATAAACATTTTAATTCGGGTGTGAATTACTCGCATCTATAATATAATTTAAAAGAAAATTAACTCACCTTACTCTCTTCGGAAGACATATATCAGTATTGAAGCATAAATATTTATCTTTGGTGCAATTTTTGACAGATTTTTCGTTCAAACAATATTTTTCGTCGGTCTCATCGCCGCAATCGTTGATACCGTTGCACTTCAAGGAAGAAGATATGCAACGACCATTTTGGCACTTGAATCTTCCGTCACCACAGATGTTCACGTTGTGACATTCAACCCTGATTTCATCCGATCCATCATCGCAATCTCGCTAAGTAGAAATATGTGAGATTATAAAATGACATTACATTATATGAATAATCGCGATCCAATAATTAATTCTGATTTCAAAAAATTAGACATTTAAATGTGTCTTATTTTATTCTCATAATAATTTTGTTATACTACTTTAAATTAATAATCATTAAAATTATTCTTATAAAATAAAAAATTATGAATAAATCGAATTACCATAATAATTTGTGCATACTAAACATATAAAAAATATAATTGTGACCCACCTCTCCATCGCATTCCCATTCTTTTGGTATGCAATTTCTTGTATTGTTACACATAAATTTAGTCGGTGGACATGTACGCTCTCTATCTCTGCAATGATTATTTATTTCATCCGAGAAATCGAGACAATCACTATACCCATCACATTCCAAGGAATTCGATATGCAAGTTCCATCGCGACATTGAAATTCATCTAAAGATGAATATTAGCAGAAATAAATAAATGACTATACGAATAAAGTTATAATAAATTCGACGTATTTTTAAAGAAAAGAATCGCAAATTTATTTAGATATAATTATTTTGTCGTCATATATCTAATTACCACTGCGGCATAGCTGCGTAGGGCAATCCTCTTCGTCGGATTTATCAGGGCATTCGTAATTCAAATTGCAACGATCATCCGAATTGATGCACGTACCATCTTTACACATGAATTTACCTAGTCCACAAGTGCCACTCTCGTCGCAGTCGTTCATTTCATCTTCACCATTCGGACAATCTATGACATCATCGCACCTAAATAAATAATAACAAATTTAAAAATTCAAAAAACATACACACACGTTATAAATCTATTAATAATCCTTTTCTAAAAAAGGCATACAAAGTCGATTATCGCAAATATTGTTGCTGCTTTTCCGCGATGCTGATTGATTGTGTGTTATACATTAATAGCTTCTTACTGTATTAACTGTTTATAAATACTAAATTTATGTAGAATAAATATATAATTTTGTTTAATCTAATCGAATATAATTACTCGCGCAAAGCGGAGTTATATATCATTCTTTGATAATAAAATCTTAAAAATTTGTATGCATAAAAACACATTAATTAATTATGCAATGCATAACAATTTAATATTTAAATCTTTAACAAAAAATGCGAACAAAAAAATAGAATTTTCTAAAAGAATCTTTAAAATATCTACGTTTTCATTAGACTTGCGCGTCTCCATATATATGTACGTCCGCTACGCTGCACGGCTCGCGCGAAACTGATCACGTGATAGTCAGTCTCGCAATCGCGATGTCTCGAACGAGAGTCAGTCTCGCGCGAGGCGCGCAGCGTGACAGACGTATGGGATGTACAAATCAAAATCTGGAAAAGATAAAAAGAGAGAAATGCTTTCACGAATAACTTATCAGTCAAAAGTCGTTAACCACGTCAATTAAATGTATCAAAAAATGCAAGTTTTCGAATAATCTACACAGCCTATTATTCTAATTAATTTATAGACTATATATGCAGAAAAGTCGGTTAAACATACCATTGCTTCCGCTTTATGCAGACATTATGTTCACTGCATTTAATTTCGTCGGTAAGACACGCAGATTGCGAGGTGCATGTACGATTATTCGCGCTTAGCATCTTTCCAGGAGGACAAGCACAGATCTGAAAGTAATCGCGTAAAATATCAGAATAAATTTTCTTTTCTCCGATAACTCGTATCGCGTCGAATGGATGACATATCAAAACACGATATTTTAATATTATATACAAAATATTTGCATTCAAATATCTGACACATAATCATATCATTTAAAATTTGTATGGACACTTACAAATGAAATAGCGGAGGAAGGTAAACACACATCTGAGCAATTTCCGTTATTTTTCTGACAGCCGCGCTCTTCGTGGGTAACAATATTTTGCAAAGCTATCACAATCGGAGTTTCTACATTTACAGGCAGACCTACAAAGTTCATTTTACTGATTCATTATTCTGTACGTGTATATGCATGTTCTTTCATGCTAAAACATTAAGTAAACTCACGGACTGCAACTTGTTCATAATTCATGTGAACATTATTACTATAATCTGTCCAATATAATAAATTAGAATTGCGTTGCGTCCAGAAAATGTTGTCTCCGGCAGTTGTAAGACTCACGGGGTTTTCTAATCCGGTACGAAGAAGATATTGATCTGAAGATTCGAAGATTGTTAATTATTTCCACGATAATTGTAAAAACTTGTCCTTTCATAATTTAATAATAATATTTACACAAAAATATGATAATAATTTTCAAGTGTAAAATATAATCTATCAAAATTTTTAATAAAATATGTGCATATATATTTGCACATAAAATTTACAAAGTTTAAAAACGTTCAAGAAGTAAATGTTTATAAAAAGAGCTAAAATACGAACCTTCAGCTTTATATGATGTGAGATAACCGGAATTTTGATCGATCGAAAAAAGTGTCTTTTTATCCCTGTCATAATGCAACGCTACTATTGGACCCATAAAATATTTTTTATTAAACTTCCCGGACCGATTCCATTCATTTTCATTTTTTCTAAACGATAACTGCGATAAAATGTTCCGAATTGAAATATGATGAACATTATGCTGCAATACAAAACATTATATTAATATTGTTACTGTATTATTAAAATGTTGATAATCAGTCTAATTGTATACTCAATAAAATACCATACCCTTCTTCAGGTATCAAAGCAATATCGCAAGGTTGATCCTTAAAGTAAAAGATCGTCTTCGACATAGTTGTCAAACTATGTACTTCGACAGTTCTGTCTTCTTTATTCGACAAATATAAGTTATTACCAATATAATCAAATGCCATTCCTCCTAATATTTTATTCTCGAATGATATAAGTTGCTTGATAACACCATTGTTCGGGTCGTAACGAATGATGTGATTTGTACGCTTATCGTTTGCAAGTATAGTGCCTAATAAGTTTTAATTGTAAAAAAAAGAGTTAATATAAAAGTTAGACGAAACATTCGTAATAGTCTTCTTAAAGTAGCAATTCTCTGCCATAAAAATTTTATAAGTTACCAGTAATTGGATCGTAAGTTGCTGCAGTTATATATCTTAAAGTACTGCTTGCAGTCGGTTTTGGCTTTCCCAAAAATTCATGAAAATATTCTATAAATAGATTTTCCGCGATGATAATAAAGCGCTGCTTCTTTTTCGCGTCTGAAATTGTATTTATATTCATTTGAAAATAATAAATACATGCAAGTTTAATAATGGCAAAGATTCATTAACATTAATAAATATTTTGTGTATATATATAATATATATAAATGTTAATATTAAAAATTAACATTTTTCCTTAATTACAGATTCTTTAATAATTTACCTCGACACGTGTGACTGTCGGCTTTCAATTCTTTATCTACGGTACAGCCACATGTATAACTTTTATTCCGATTCAATATGCATAAATGAGAGCATGGATTAGGGTGACATGGGTTTGGAATCTGAAATTAAATTAAATTGAATGCAGACTTTGCGGTGTCGATTTTGTTACAATACAAAAGTAACAGTAAAAATAACAAATAACATTTTGCATACCTTGGGTTTTAAGGCCGAATGTTCTATATGTATGCCATAAGGTGTAACATCCGCTCGACTTACGATTTTCCAGTTCTTTCCGGAAAATTTGTCGCAGGATTGTATCGTATTATCTTGCCAATCGCTCCAATATAGTTTATTTTCGAAAATCGCCAAGGAAAATGGATTTTCGATTATATCGTGCAATACGATCTGCGGATAAATAAATTACAATTATCTTTTGTTGTAATATTAATTGTATCCAAAAATATCATATGATAAAAAAATATAAATGCTAACTCTTCGATCGGTGCCATCTAAACGTACTGATTCAATTATATTTGCCTTGCTATCTAACCAATATAATCGATTATTCGGATGATCAATAGTTATACTGGTGGGCCATTCTATATTTTCAGTGATGAATTGGCTTCTGTCTTTGCCATCCATCCCAGCCATTCCAATATGCGGGATGTTAAAATCGGTCCAAAACATTATTCTGTAAATATACAAATACACGCTTAATATTTTGTATTAATTTATATATTATGCAGTTTATTGTCTATACTATGAATATATAATTTTTATGAGAAATATAATATTTACCCGCTGGTTGGTAACAGAGCGATTCCACTCGGTTTAGATTGCTCACTAATTAATATAGTACATGATGTTCCATTATTATCACAAACCCCGATATGATTGTTACCTTCATCTGTGAAATATATGTTGCCCGTAATCCAATCCACGGCTATTCCCGTTAGTGTATGCAAACCTTATTTACGAAAAAATTACACAGAATTTAAAACACGATAAAAATATTAATAATTATAATTTTTCAGGTATAGCAGTAAATTAATTATTCCATAAAAATGATATTTATCTATATATCTATTTGAATTTTAATTAAACAATTTTTTTTAACAATAATATTGTAAAATAATAAATTATTGTTTATACATGTGTAAAATTATATATTAGTAATTTATACAATTTGAGTTAATAAATAAAATACTTCTTTATTTTATTCCGTGAAGAGAATCAACGAAATAATATATATTGAGATATATTATTTCTGCGAATTCTTTTCGCACAAAGACTGTAATTATTATTTATAAATATTATTAATAAGACACTCACCTGCCGTAACGATAGCTTCGTGTTTCCCTCCAACAATGCCTTTTACGATCGTTTGAATATTGTCTTCAGTAATAGCTGAACAAAATAAGTTATCGTCGTCGAGAGCGACAGCAATGGCTTGACTCAAGTTTGCAGCGGCTGTGAAATATATTTTTGATTCGAGATATACTGCGCGAATTTCCGTTTTTGTAGAAAATACCAACGTAGCCTCGCCACCTAAATTTTAATTGTAAAAAAATCGCATTTTTATGAAAATTAATATAAATTAATATCTGTTTTTTTTTTAATTATATTTGCAGATTAATTTACCCTCGGCTTTGCATGTTTTCTTATCGTCTTGTAAGATGTAACCTGTTTCACAGGTACACTTATACGATCCTGCTGTATTCACGCATCCTTGATCGCATTTGCCATAAATCTGACACTCGTCGATATCTATAAAAAAATTGTTAAATAATTCTTCTTGTAATCTACATACTTAGGATTTTTTTAGAAATTTACCTATGCATGTGTAATTATTTGTGTTACGATTAATAACATAACCCGGCTTGCAGACACATACAGGTCCGCTAGGTGTTTGTTTGCAGCCGTAACTGCATTTTGCCATTGAAGTTACATTACAACTAGATTTACCTAAAAGAAAATAATAAAGAAAATTAAATAATATGAAATTTTATAACAAATTGTGCATGCAGATTATATCACGATAGATGTTAAGAGATATTACATGTATTAGAAGGCTTGAAATAATTGAAATGCATTATAATAGAGATAATGCAATAATTAAAATACTATATTAATATTAATGTTAGCATACTCACAACCGACACCTTCGTCTGATCCATCACCACAATCATCCTTTCCGTTACATACTATATCAAAAGATATGCATTTTTGATTTTTACATAAGAAATGGTTGTATGCAGTTTTACAATCACTTGTGGACAACGTTGTATTGTCTAAAATACAGCATTTAAAAAAATTTTCCTTGGATATATATACATATATAGTAATATATAATTTTATATCTTATTGTAATCATTAATAATTTATATTTTTTATAAAATTACCGCAATTCCATTCATCGCTGCCATCAGGACAATCGTTTTTACCGTCACAAACCCAATTTTTGCTTACACAATGTTTGTCGTTGCATCGAAATTTATCGTCGCACTTTAACTGTCGCGATAAAAATAAATTTACAAATATATTGTTATGCAAAATAATTTTGACAAAGATTGACAAATGTTATATGATAATACACAAAATATAAGGCACAAAAAATAAGGTCGATTTATTCACCTCATTTACGCAACCATTATACTCATCGCTCCCATCCGTGCAATCCTCTACAGCGTCACAAAACTTTCCTTCCGGTATACAATTTTTATTTTGACATCTGAATTCATTTGTGGCACATATTATGTCGTGAGGATAATTTAGCTGAGAATATAAAAAATTATCTTACTTAATGTTGTGTCCGTATTTATTTGTTTATATGTGACATATCGTGACATTAAATTAATAAAAATATAAAAAATATAATATACCATTCTTTATTTTACTCAATTTTAATCAGGCATATAATTAAAGCGAATTTTATATTATAAATGTAACTTTTGCAACAAGTGTGAAACTGTTTAATAATAACGAGAATTGAGCTTTTTATTCGTAAAAAAATAATGACATTTTTTTCCAAATAAATAGTTATTATTGCAATTAAAATATTTGAAAAGAATAGATCTTATTATATTTTTGGTCTTACAGAAAGTATGGATCAAACAAATATCGAACGTATGATTTGTAAATAAAAAATAAATATCTTTTTTAGAAAAGTTTCAAATTTTAAGATAAGAGATTGCGACATGTGTGGTGTGTGTATTAAAAATACATATATAATGTAATCTATTATTGCAAGCAATTGTAAGCAAAAGATAAAAGCTGTCCACACTGTATAGTAGCTTAAGAAATGTTTTTACAAATTCAAAAGAGATAAGAATTGGAAAGTGATTGGCAAAAAATAAAATTCATGTGAGTTGTTTAATACTCACAGTAAAGTCTTGGCAGTTATTTTCATCCGATCCATCGTTACAATCTCTACTTCCATCGCATTCAAATGAAAATGGTACACATTCGCCATCATCGCATCGAAACCAAACGGGTTTCTGACATTTTCCAAATAAGAAACCTATGCATTATTTACACAAATTTTATCATATATTATTTAATTTTAAAACATAATTTAAAAATATAAAAAATAACAAGTAAATAATTCGATTTAATCAATTGCAAATTTAATTTAATAGATGTGTTATAAACCGATCTCGTTTTTTAAACGCAATAATAATCTATTTTAAAAATGTATTTTATAAATAAATATTTTTATAAATATTGAAATATTAACCTACCATTGCCATATGAACAAAAATACAAGAAGTTATATATAAGTAGCAGACTCACAATACGTGGCATTATCTACAAAAAGAAAGCGTCAGTGTTATTGTGTGATAAAGCAAATTATGTGCTTTATTTGTTATTTTCCAATTATTATTATTTTACTGAATTCTTTGAATATGCGCATGTTAAATCTTCGAAATAAAAGTATAGAATCGAAAATATAAGTATATAGCACACAATTAGTTTAGTACACAATTCGTTTAGATAGAAGTTCAAGAAGATTATAAATATCACAATATGATAACGATAGTATCCTATATAATGTTTTCTTGATAAAACATTCTACTTATCGCAATTATAAAATGTAGAAAATGACGAAATACAAATAGCTTAATTTGAATTATATTGACTTAATTAAATTTCAACTACTTTTAAATAATTTTCTTAAATAAATTATAAATAATAAAAATTAAGAAATTGTTTGTAAGATTTGCATATATAAAATTATGTATATTTAGAACTTATAAACGTGATGTTGTTATTTTATTAATACTAAATTTTTTATATTATATTATACACAATTATTATATTACATTATAATATTATTTAAATAGCATATATTATTTTTTAAGCATTTTAATATAATATATTATTTTAAAATATATTTAATTAATTAATTATATTATTTAAATATCGGAATATATCTTTCAAAAATAATTGAATTAATTAAAATATTCTTAGACAGAAATATGATTAATCGAACCGACGTCGATTCAACAATTATTTCTGGCTGGGTTATAAATAGTATAAATGTAGTTAAATCAATTTGATGCAAAAAATTTGATGCGTTTAATTTTAAATATTTGTTGAAATGCTTATATTTGAAAAAAGAAGATGCAAATACATAAATTCAATAAGAATAAAAAACGTATTTTGAAAAAACTCACCACAATAAATTAAACTGCTTATATGTACACATATGTAATACTCGTATTTATTATATTTATGCGAGGAAGAGAAGAGACCCGATCGCGACGCTGTACAAATCGATTCTGAGACGGTGCTTCAAACTTAAGATTCCTTCAGATCCTTGTTTTCCTGTGTGTTATCAAGACTAAAGGTCGTCTTCGATCAAATATAAGAAATTAGAGAAATTTCGAGTAAACAGATTCGACGTGACAAAATATCCTTAATGTATATAAATTTTACTAGATATATTTCTTCTCAGAAATTGGCTGAATATATGGAAATATAAAAATTAACATATAAAAATTAAAATAAGATATATTGAAGATAATTAAATAAGGCGTACGTTAATAAAAAATAATGATTTATTTCAGTAAATTAATAAATTATAATAAAAAAGATATTATTAATAAAATTTTGCTTTATTTAAAAAAAAACGTACAAAAATCAACTTTACATAATTTAAACATTTTCAAAAACTTAAAATTATATTATAAAAAACATTTATATTTTAATTTTTAATGTATATATAAAGGAGTTTACAAAATAATAAAAAAATTACAATTACAAAATTTGTGAAAACCGTAAAAAACAAACAGTAATGACAACAATTAAATTAAAACAAGAAACAATAATATAATAAAACTTACGAATCTTTAAATCGGAATTTTTTTGTAAGACGGAGCAGAGCTATATACAATTCGTACCCCAGATAGCACCATGTCTATAAAATGCACGCATAAATCGTCATTAAGAAATCTTGAAAAAATCTTATAATAATATATCCCAAAGATATCTTAAAAACATCTTAAAGAGGGTGCATTTTGGACATGGTGCTATCTGGGACGACAATCGTGGCATCACTCATCACTACAGGATCTTTTATAATCATATAAATTCCTATTTACTGAATATCGATAGTAATAGAGATGATTAGAGGCAATCTCTGAGTCATCTCTTATTATATTATATTAATTTTTATTTTATAATTGCATAATTTATGATTTAAAATTTTAGCGTTAGATAAACATTAAATAGGATAAAAGAAAAAATATAATTTGTTAATAGTAATATATGTAAAAAAAAGTTAAGGAAAAAAGAGGAAGAATTACTATTATAATTATTTATCGAGATAGTACACTTTAACAATCATATTGAATAACACGCCATTGGCTGGCGAAACAAATGCCAGCGTGCCATGTCATGTTGCTGCTGTAGTGGTTGAATGTTGAACGTTCTTTATACTTTTTGCTAATAGACAGTTCCACAGTTTTTATCTCGAGAAAAATGCCACGGTGTTTGATAAAGTCCATGGTGCGATATCAGAAAACGGACAGCTCGAACGAAGGTATTTCTGCTTTTCTTTACGCGATATCTCATCACGCGGTATCTTTCAGTCCATCGTTAAGATTTTTAGTCTTTGCATGTACGAATGGAGGGGTAAGTCTCGTTTACGGTTATGGATGTGCCCTGACATATATGCCAGTGCTAAAATTATTGAGACAATACGAATACAAATCAGTCGTTCGTTACTTCAACCTTGGCTGTGTTGACACAATAACAAACACTCTTCGGCTGATCATGCCATGTGTCTTCTATTTTCACGTGATATTTCCAAGATACTTACAAGTACTATACATAAGAATTCATTGTTAAAACAGCACATCAAAAATTTTTATTTTTCGTAAATTGTATAATTGCTGTAGTAAATAAACGTTGTATGTGTCATAGACTTTATATATATATATATATATATATATATATATATTTTTTTTTTTTTTTTTAAATTACTGAGGGAAAGTAAAAATTAATTCTTCATCAGAAGCAAAAGAAACAGACTTTGAAACGTTCTAAATTTATTTTGATGATTAAAAAAATCGTCAATGATTTTTTAATAAGAATTTTGTGTGAAATAAATTGTTATATAAACCCGATTTTATTCATCTGTTTGTCGCAAAATAATTTTCTTTTGCGTGTAAAATAACTCAGATAGCACAGCGAATTTAAAAAGAATTCATTTGTTGTATGTCACCAATTTTGAATCCCTTTTCAAATACATATAGAACTCATTTTAATTTAATAAAATGAATTCTATATCCCTCTAAGCGCATGATATTATTTAATATTCTAGGCCTATTCTTAGAATATTAAATATTTTAAAAATACGCCTAGAATATTGCTTAAATATTAAATAATATCATGCGCTTATATAGAGATGTATTTGAAAAAGGACTCAAAATTGGTGACATACAAATGAATTCTTTTTGAATTCGCTGTGTTATCTGGGAAGATATTTAAAATATGTTGTAAATCTCTACAGTACATATTAAGACCGAAAGACTATTCTAGTAATAAATATTGTGTGTATGACAGAAAATCGATCTTTTGCAGAGGCTGAATTCTCGTGGTTGCCGCCATCCGCGGATCTCAAGCGAAAGAATCATCCGAAAGACGCGACGTCGAAGACGAGCAATATCTGGACTTGTTCGGGACTTCCCATTGTAACTCGGTACAGCTTCCATAAAGTCAATAATGCCATGTTTGACGAGAGCTTGAATATAACAGATCGAAATTGTGCAAACATTCGTCAGGATGCTTCACCATCGATCGACGTCGTGAACACGATGATCGATTCTGGAAAAATGTCCGCGATATTGCTCGACGACGCATCTCGAGCCTCCTCCGATGCGAAAAAATCGGTAAATGCAATGCAGATGATGGATCCGGGAAAATCTAACGGGACGACAAATCAGAAAGTCGCGATCAACGGCTCCGAAACGCAAACGCTTTCGCAGGCTTTGTACCTGATGCCGAAGCAAAAGCCGACCAACGTCGCCGAGAACAAGACGTCCGTTAAAGAGAACGCTCAACCCTGGAAGAGAAATAAAACGATGCATTATTGCCCTTATTGCCGCAAGAGCTTCGATCGGCCATGGGTGCTGAAGGGTCATTTGCGTCTTCATACAGGCGAGAGGCCCTTCGAGTGTCCGGTTTGCCATAAATCTTTCGCAGATCGGTATGTAAAAAGGGAGGCAAGAATATCCGATTTCGCTCAAATTATCCAGATTGCAAGCGTACGTCGTTTTGACGTAATTAAACGTCAAAATGATGTTATTTTGCTAATTGGGTAGAGAGGTCTTGAATTTATTATATTTAAAATATGCTGTAAATCTCTCTCTCTCTCTCTCTCTCTCTATATATATATATATATATATATATATATATATATTTCAAAACCGAAAGATTACATATTCTAGTAATGAATATGTGCACGTGTATGCTTTTACTAGCTTTAATTTTTATTAAAAAATAGAATTTTCTTTATTAAAAATTTAACTTGATAAAGTTTTACTTCAAAACATTCAGAAAACTTTTAATACAAGTAAATAAACAAGAGGAAAAATCATTAATTAAAATATTAATAATTAATGAGAGATACCTTAAATTATCCAAAAGTGAAAGTAAATGAATAATAGAAAAAATAATTTCGAGACTAACTAACTTTTATCCTGTTTGATATTATCCTTGTAATAATTGAAGTACTAATAATTAATGAGAGACACCTTATTGTACGACTAATTAATCATTGTGTGCCATATTTATCTTACAGTTCTAATCTGCGAGCTCATCAAAGAACACGCAATCATCATCAATGGCAGTGGCGTTGTGGTGTGTGCTTTAAAGCTTTCTCGCAAAGACGTTACTTGGAGCGTCATTGTCCGGAAGCTTGTCGCAAATATCGTATGTCTCAGAAGAAGGAATTTCCTTGTTCCTAAATGCGAACGAAAATATTAGCTATCAAACATTTCGATATAAAGTTGTCTTACTTAACAATGCGATGTATTACGTATAAAGTTTTATAATATATTACATTGTAGCTATGTTCTGAAATGAAAATTTTATGTCAACTATTTCTTTATATATCTTTCTATTTGCGAATTAATATTTATTCGAAATTATTAATTAATTAAACAATTTTCATTATAATTATTTACATATATAAGACGCATAAAACGTTCAAAAACTCACTATATATAAATATAGAATTGATTTTTTTACATTGCATATATTTTATCGATCTCCATCGCGCTCTATTTTATATAATTTGAATTATTTGAATATAGGCACAATAATTTACTTTGCATACATATATATTCTTTATATCTTTCTCTTTGCGGATTAATATTCATTCGAAATGATTAATTAATTAAAAAATGTTTCGTTAATTATTTATTTATACAACGCGCATAAAACGTTCAAAAACTCATCATATATAAATAGAATTGATTTTTGTCACATTACATATTTTATTTCGATCTCTGTCGCACTCCATTTTTCATAATTTAAATTATTTGAATATAGGCAAGAATTTGCTTTACATACATATAATCCAGCGAGGCACGTGATTGGCTGCCGCGGAACCGTCCGCGAATCACATTTGGACGCATAAGATCACGGGCTTAAACCGTCCGAGCATGTCGGTTTCCCATCTAACTACTCTCACTTCTTCATGGTACGGCTCGTGTACACCGAACAAGCAATAATCGTCGCTGGCATTGGCATTCGACGCAGTGCATTAGTCAGCGTTAGTCAGGATTTCGAGTTACAGCAAACGGGAAGCAAAATCACGAGACGTAGGAGACGGCTGAGAGAGAGAGAGAGAGAGAGACTTCGAAGTCGAGTCGGTTCGCGCGTCTGAACGCGAGGAATCCTTTTCTTCCGCGCAAGCAAACGGCGGAGTTCGAGAAGCGGGCAGAGAAGCGAAGCGAATAGAAGAGAAGGAGGAAGAAAAGGACGAGAGCGTGGCAGCGGCGGCATCACATCGAACGGCCACGGCACGGTGAGTGAGCCCCGACGCAGTCACTGCTGGCGCTGCGAGGCGAGAGGTCGACGAGCGAAATCATTGACATTGGGGAAACGGCCATTTTGGCGTGTCTGTCTCCCACCGATCCGAACGGCAAGGCTCGAAGACGCACAGACGCGGCACATCGACGTCCATCCGTTTTCGAGGTAAGGAACACAAAGCTCGGACGCGGCCCGATTACGCGAATGGCCGCGACCCCTGGACTCTGAAATTTCGCTTCGCGAATCCGCCTCCTCCGGCCTCGTTGCCTTTCTTGCCTTCGGCGACCTAACGGAATCGTGTTGCCATCCTGTCTCTCCGTCCTTATCGGTGGATCGGTTCGAGATCGAGAAATTTTGCCGGATTTTATGACACGAGAGAAAATGGCCTTTGTTGTACACGTGTATATATATATATATTGTGTATGCACGAGATTTTTTTTTCTTCGGGAAAAATAAATTCGAGACGATACTTTGTAACGTAGCATATTGTACATGGCAGTTCTGGCTTTATCGACAATTCGAACGTTACGCGTTTGAAATTCATGAAAACTTGTTTGCCTCCATACGCCGCGTATCGGCTATCGGTTTAATCATGGACACTCGTGATTGGCCAAATATTTTCTACTACTTTGCTCTTTTGTCGTTTCGTTCATAGATTGTTTGTTGAAATTCGAGACGGTTTGAATATATCTTGATGTGTATTAACGGAGCGATAAGCTCCGATAAATGCGAACATTCCTTTGTTTCTATTGTATAAATATCTTATCCATTAAAAAAAAAAAAAGCCTCTGTTATGTGTTTAATATACTAACAAGATATGCTTCTCTTTTTTTTTTTTTTTTAGTATAGTTTGCAGCAACGCAAGCTTTTATATTTTTCTGGAAATTGAATTATTTATTAAATTATATCTTAGAGAGTTGTTAATTCTTATGTATATTCAATTTTATATCTATTAAAGAAGAACAAGAGAGACTATAAAGGATGAAGGAATCAAATTTTTTTGTAACACAGTTAACCGTCTTATCTACAAAAGTATTTGTGTCTCTCTTGTACATCCAAACATGCAAAAACACTTAGCACATTCGAATGTATTTATAACAGCGAACACTACCTATAGGCATACAGTCATTGTAGGTCAATTTTGTTTGGTCTTGTTCTCCTTCTGACGCTATTCAAACGTTAACATAAAAACTTGCTAAATGCTTTCAAATGTATTTGAGCTTCAGAATTAAATATGATGTATAATTATTAATATATTTTACAAATTTTAAAAGAATGGCAAAAAATTTAAATAAATTTTTACATCTTACAAATATGTATATTACAATAATAATACTAGCTGGTATGCATATAATTATAAATAATTATAGTGATATAATTGTCTTTTTTCTATTTTGTAACTTCAATTCTTTTGTTTTGTCTTTTTCAGAAAAAAAAATAGATATACTACAATATTTCCAGAATGATGATCGAGACGCATATAAACTCTAATCACATGTTGAATTCTGGTTTGTCTAACAAATCAGAAATAGAAAAAATGGATGATGTAGGTTGGAAAGCCAAATTAAAAATTCCACCAAAGGACAAGAGGATTAAAACAAGTGTAAGTTTTATTCGAAATAAAAAAGTAGAGAGATAAAAAATCATTTTTATTTATAAGTAATTTATGAGATGTTAAATATATAAATTAACCTTTAAAAATGAATTTCTAATTTATTATTCATAGAATTCCTAAAAATTTCAATATTTTTTATCTTAATAGTAATTTAAAAAAGATTATTAAAATTTTCCAGGTTTTACACATGAATTAATAAACGTAATTTAAACAAATTTTACAGGATGTTACTGACACACGTGGTAATGAATTCGAAGAATTTTGCCTAAAACGTGAATTATTGATGGGAATTTTTGAGAAGGGATGGGAGAAACCATCACCAATCCAAGAAGCTAGTATTCCCATTGCACTTTCTGGTAAAGACATCTTGGCACGAGCAAAAAATGGAACTGGCAAAACTGGCGCGTACTCAATTCCAGTACTGGAACAGGTATATATAATTACATTGTATCAATCTAAATAAAATATTTCATTTAAATGTCACATTTTTAAAAATATATTTGCTTTAGGTTGACCCAAGGAAAGAAGTAATTCAAGCATTGGTGATTGTACCTACAAGAGAGTTAGCACTACAAACATCACAGATTTGTATCGAGCTTGCAAAACATATGGATATAAAAGTTATGGTCACCACTGGAGGAACTAACTTACGCGACGACATTATGAGGATTTATCAAAAAGGTAAGATGTAGAAAAATTTTTAATTCAAAGACAAGTGAAATAAATTTGCACATGTAAAATGTGTTTAATTTAAATGTAATTTGTATTTTCAGTACAAGTAATAATTGCGACGCCAGGAAGGATTCTTGACCTAATGGATAAAAATGTGGCAAATATGGAGCATTGTAAAATTTTAGTTTTAGATGAAGCAGACAAACTGCTGTCACAAGACTTCAAAGGAATGTTGGATCATGTCATATCGAGGTATGTTGATAAAAAAATATTACAAAATTACAAAGTATAAAATATTTAAATATTTATGTATGTTTTTTCTATTTCTATCACATCTTAAATCTTAAATTCAAATCATTAGAATTATATTAACATTGATTATTTATGATTTATGCGCAATTAGTACTTTATATAATTGTTTGAAATGTACATGTATTGTTAAATAGACATGTTTCGACATATTTCCGAGTGCGTCAAACAGACTATTTTTATTGATTCTTGCTTGAAAGTTATAGGAATTTTTTCAATCATTAATCTTCTGACTCATTAATGTTAATATTTTTTAGATTCTTATTAATATTACGAAATTTATTATTTATAATATTACGTCGAATTTACATCACTATCAATTATTAAAAATAATCTATTACAATTGTCTATACACATTGATTCTCTTTTTGATATTTATGATTTTAAGGTGTTTATTGGGTGTATTATTTTGCTCTAGATTGCCACACGAACGTCAGATTTTGTTGTATTCAGCTACTTTTCCTCTGACTGTGAAACAATTTATGGAGAAACACTTGAGAGATCCATACGAGATTAATTTAATGGAAGAGTTGACTCTAAAAGGCGTAACACAATATTACGCTTTTGTACAGGAACGACAAAAAGTTCACTGCCTTAACACGTTATTTTCGAAGGTGAGACATCATTTAACATTTGATTTGATTTAATTTAATTTAATCCCATATTAATATCTTAAATATTCATAAATGTATGTATTATATTTGTAGTTGCAAATAACGCAAAGCATAATCTTCTGCAATTCAACGCAACGCGTCGAATTATTGGCTAAGAAAATAACAGATCTTGGATATTGCTGTTATTACATACACGCGAAAATGGCGCAGGCGCACCGCAATCGCGTGTTCCATGATTTCCGTGCAGGATTATGCCGAAATCTCGTAAGTTCATTAATATCTGACAATAATTTTACTTATTTAAATGTACATATCACACATATGTATTATATTATGTTGTGTGTTTATACATATGTATCTTTTGATGATACAAATAATATAAATGCTGAATTAAGATAACACTTGAAATTCAAACTTAACATTTAACTATTAAACGCAAAATTTTTTTTGCAGGTGAGCAGTGATCTATTTACCCGCGGTATCGATGTTCAAGCTGTGAATGTCGTAATTAATTTCGACTTTCCGAAAATGGCAGAGACATATCTGCATAGAATCGGCCGATCTGGAAGATTTGGCCACTTAGGTATAGCAATTAACCTAATCACATACGAGGATCGCTTCAACTTACATCGTATCGAACAAGAGCTTGGAACAGAAATTAAACCTATCCCAAAGGTGATAGATCCTAGTTTGTATGTAGCGAGACCAGAAGACAATAATAGTATGGAAGAAGGTAATGTGTCCAAGTAGTTTCGATACACTGTTGCAAAATAAAGCTTTACAAGCG